GCAAGACCGTAAGAAATAATTTAGGAAAGACAGATAAATATGAAATTGGAGAGCATGTGATATGCAGAGTTTATAAAAAGGAAATGGGGCAGGTGTTTAATGTAAATATTACTTATGAAATTATTAGTATTGATGATTGGAAAGTAGAAATCCAAGATATCAAAAGTAAAACTATATTCATGACAAACACCACGACTTTAGACAAGCACTTTATACATGCGTATTGTGCTACATGTCATTCGTCTCAAGGGGCTTCTCTAGATAAAAGCATTACTATACACGAATGGGATAAATCACATTTGGTCAGCCGTGAGTGGATTTGGACAGCCCTCACGAGATGCAGAGATATCAATAAAGTCAAGTTTTTCAAAGCAGACGTAGATGATACTGATTTAAATGAAGCACAAGTAGCCAGATATTTAGAACATAAGATTAAACAATATAAATTACAAGACATGAAAGCAGAGAGAGAGATAGACAACAAACAATATATTGATGTCAAATGGTTATTTGACAGGCTTAATACCAGATGTAATAAATGCAGTTCAGATTTTGACATAGAAATAAATAATGGAGTAATAAATAGCAATATGACAGCCCAAAGAATAAACAACGATTATGCCCATCATAAGGAAAACTGTATATCTTACTGTTTAAACTGTAATCGCCGGGAAAAATAATATCTATCTTATTTTATATGGCATCTAAGCAAGATATTATTAATAATGTTTATTATGATAAAGGAGGCTTCGGGTCAAAGAACCGCACTTTACAAGAAGCAAGAAAAAAGGATAACACAATAACTATAAACGATATTAATGAGTTTTTTAGGAAGAATGTAGAACAGAAAGCCAAGCCAAGAGGACAGAATTCATTTGTAGCTCCTAACGCATATTATGAGTTTCAAATTGATTTATTTTTCATTAATGATATCCCTAAACAAAAAATGAAAGTTGGTATGATGTGTATTGACATATTTTCTAAGTATATGGTTGTTGTCCCGCTTATGTCAAAACAGCCAGCGGACATTTTAGCAGGACTGATGGAATGTATTAAAAAAATGGATGGAAAGCCCAAACTAATTTATATTGACGATGAAGGAGCTTATAACAATCAAAGTGTTATAGATTTTTTGAAAGATGAAAAAATAGATTGCACAGAACCAGAGGTCACCCAGCATTCGCGGAGAGGGCGATAAGGACGTTTAAAGATAGCTTGTATAAGAGGGTTGAAAACGATGAGAAAAAAGGAAAGGCTATTCAATGGACAGACTACATACACGAGATTATATTAACTTATAACAATGGAATAAAGCACACTTCGCACGGCTTAACACCGTCAGAAGCAAGAAAGCCTAAACATCAATTAGAAGTGAGTTTAAACTTAGGTATGAAAGCCAAAAGAAATAGAGTTTATCCAGATTTAAATGTAGGAAATGAAGTTAAGATATTCAGGAAAAGGAGACCAAATGAAAAGGAGAGAGTAGGAGTATGGACTAAACAAACCTACAAAATAGCAAAGATTGAAAAGAAGTTAGGACAGGAATATTATTATATTGAAAATTATGACAGGGCATTTTTGAGACATGAGTTATTAAAGGTATAAATTTATTTCTTGGAAAAAAGTATTTAAAGAAATAAAAACTATATATATTATAATAGAAATGATGGAAACCGAAATCAATAATTATATCAATAAGAAATGCTACGATTGTTGCCACTTCAAAAAGGAAAATATGGAATTATATAAATTGAATTTACCTAATGGAATAGTTAATAATATTATTGATTATTCAATGGATGAAGAAGATATATGCGAAAATTGTAAAACCTGGAGAGATAATCAAGAATTAATCAGATGTCATTTAAATCTGAAAAGAAGACATAATAGAAATGTTGAAGACAACATTATAATATTTTTAACTGTGTATGAAAGACCACCTTATAGTTATGTTAGAATATTTCTCAAAATCAGTAAGAAAAAGTATGAACTGATTAACCACATTTTATGGATATTGTTACATCGTAGAAGAGAAGGGTGTGATGTAAAAGAAGACATTAAATCAGAAATTGAAAGCAAAAAGTTTAATGTGAAAAATACCGTGAGAGATATTAATATTATTTTTGAACTGATGCATGACAGACATAAGATATATACACAATTTAATAATCATCAATTAACTTATTATCCTGAACTTAAATTATAATCATAATATAATAATAACATGTAAAATATTATATGTTATAATTATATTTGAATATGTAATTTTATTTCTTGGAAAAAAGTATTTAAAGAAATAAAAACTATATATATTATAATAGAAATGATGGAAACCGAAATCAATAATTATATCAATAAGAAATGCTACGATTGTTGCCACTTCAAAAAGGAAAATATGGAATTATATAAATTGAATTTACCTAATGGAATAGTTAATAATATTATTGATTATTCTTTGGACGAAGAAATATATGTAGAACTTGTAGAAGATGGAGACGATATCAAAATATAATAGAAAATTGTTTGGCGTTTAAAAATATAGATGAAAGAAATGTTGAAGATGAAATATTGATATTTTTAACTGTGTATGAAAGACCACCTTACGATTATGTTAAACAGTTTCTTAAAATCAGTAAGAAAAAGTGTGAAATGATTAATGACATATTATGGATGTTGATTTATTATAGTAAACCCGGCGTTGATGTAAAAAAAGTCATAAAATCATATATTGAAAGTGAACAGTTTAATGTTAAAAATACAGTGAGAGATATTAATCTTATTTTTAAAATGATGTATGAAAGAGGTAAGATATATCAATTAAATTATTATCCTGAACTTAAATTATAATCATAATATAATAATAACATGTAAAATATTATATGTTATAATTATATTTCAATATTTAATTTTATTTCTTGTAAAAAAGTATTTAAAGAAATACACACTATACATTATATTAGAAATGGAACTTAACAATTTACCATTAGAAATTAGATTGAATATTATGTCATATAACTGTTATGATATATGTCCTTACAGGTATAACGATATCATTAAACACCCTTTTCCAACTTGGGAAAAGGTAAAAAGAAATCCATTCTGGATAATGTCTTTGACTGAATATTTAGATGGTAAAAAATCTGAATATGAAATATACTTAGAATTAAAAACAATTTACGATTATTCTTACATATTTAATATTGAATATAAGTTTAAGCATCTATGGTTTATTAATAATATTGATGATATGAACATTAATGGTAGAAAATACTGACAAGTCAATATTATGACGCCATGAGAGCACTTTTATCAATGATGCCATTTAGAACAGAAGCAGAATGGCATATCCGGTTTTATCATATATTAGGCACTGAAGACTTCTACAAAAGCGAAGAAGAAGTTAGCGATAATGAAAGTGTTGGTAGCTATTATTAATTTCATAACCATACTATGATTATAACATTTATACCCTTATATGTTATAATTATAATGTCAGTATAGCGTTTTATATATTGAAGATAAAATCCTACAAGGGACACCACGCCCAAACAAATATATGATGAAACTGATGAAACGAAGGAGGGAGTGATGTTGTTGCTGTTCTATTTTTTGTCCGGGAAATGGACAAATCGTTTTTAGACAGTTCGAATATTTTTTTGATGACACATATTTTTTGCAATATATTTTGCAAAATTTATTTTTTTGAAATGGATGAGGTGAGGAGATTGAGGAAATGACATTTTGAAAGGTAGTTGGTGAAATGAATGAGGCGAGGAGGAAGGAGAAAAGGATGGCGAAAATTTTGGAAAAGTGATGATAAAAAATCGGATGAGATGGACAGAAAGGAATGTAGAAAAATGATGAAAACGAATAAGGGTAGAAGATGGAAGATGAAAAAAATGTAGGGTGGGGGGTATGTATGAAGCAATTTATTTGCGGGGCAAGGCCCTCCACTACTGTTTTGGGGGGTCCAACCTCAACTTGACACGCTGAAATAGGGTCTACTTTTGCGCTCGAACAAAGGGCAGGGCCTCCTATTCACCATTCATGTTCGCAAGTTGGGCAGTGAGGATATGGGCGGCTCGCCTTTTAAGGTGACCCTCAATCTGGTTTTTCTTTTGGTACTCTCACAACCAACAAGCACACACAGACAGATGGAGCTATGGCCGTGCTTCCAAAGTCGCCGAGCCCCTGCAGCAAAGCTGAGAGCGACACCGGTGGAACGCCTTCACGCAAGGTTCAGCAGCTTTCGAGCGGTCGTTGGTGTTGTGTTGCTGGGTTTGGTTCCTTTGCCTGGGGTCTTCGTCCATATGAGTTGATAGTTTAAGGTCGACGCCATTATGCCTCATCTGAACATACTGTGGATGGGCAGAATCCATTTCGCACCAGTTGGGCTGGATGCAACCCAATGAAAACTGGGATAAACCATCTACCAACCGATGCGAAATGGGATGTTGTTCATCCTAGCGCTTGGTGTGAATCTTGGGACTCTATGTCCTGGCACTTGGTGCTTCTGTGAGTTGGCGGCAGTTGCGGGTCCAGCATATCATGCAGGTGGATTATTTCCATCGTTAAATGTGCGTTGATTATTGTCATTATCGTCATTGTCAATATCAGTCGCGTCATCATTGTGGGTATTATTGTTATTGATATGCTTATTTCATCCTCATGTATCTTATGATATTTGTTATCATGATCATCATCATCATCATCATCATCATCATCATCATGATTATTACTATTATTATTACTATTATTAATAATTATTATTAGTTATTATTTTTATTTATTATTATTATTATTATTTATTATTATTATTATTATTATTGTTGTTGTTATTATTATTATTTTTATTATTATTGTTGTTATTATTATTATTATTATTATTATTAGTATTATTATTATTATTATTATTATTATCGTTACCGTTGCTCTTGATGGCACCAGCAGTAAGAATCCATGCGCAGCAGTCACAGCTTCGAGCTTCGTTCTATCGCCAGGTACCTTGGGAAGGTGACTCCCTTCAGAGGCCGCGGCCTGAGCGGAGCGAACACTCGCCGGCAGGGCATCAGAAAGGGAATGTCCCCGGGGGGGAAAACAAAAAAACAATTCAAGAGCAAGCTCATCTACGTTTCCTGTACGGGAATCCCCAAAATCGGTTCAGTCCCAACAATCGGAAGGTCGTTCCCTACCTATCGCACCTGCCAGATTCCAACACCCGAAGCCATGCTTCAAGAATCAAACGAGGAAAAGCATCCGCCAAACCCACGGCGTAGTTCTAAAAACTTGCTGGCATTCTAGAGTGCGCGGAAATGTGTAAGCTACAAAGGCTGAAGGTGCTGACATGGGTGGGCTTGCTTTTTTGAGGGTACCCTTTTTGGGGCCTTTTGTGATGGGGAAACCACAGAGAAATCACGAAGCAAATTGGGGTTTCCTCGACAAACAAGACGGACCCATGTGTGTTTCCCGCGGTTGGCAGGGTTCCAGCTCCTGAGACGTTTGCAAGCAACCCGTTTGGAACTTAGGTCATTCAAAGCAACAAGGGTACCCAGGTACCCTGTTAACAAGGACATGGGAAACAAGGCTGCCTGTCCGATCAGCGCACTGGAGGCTCATTTGGGTGAGGGGCAGGGAGCGTATAGGCTACCCTGGTCGTTTGCTCAGCCTTCAAGTAGCTCGAATTCGTGAATATTTGCGTGAGTCATGGCAAGCTTTCAAGAAGCGGCGAGAGCATGCCTGGTGCGTTTCACTTGTGTGTGGCTCAAAATCAACCAGGAGGGGCAAACCGCAGGTTTTGGTACCCATGGAAACCACTTCCCAGGGCTTGCGCCATTTTGGGGTTGCCCGGTTTTTTGAATTCGCCACGGCCATTTGCGGTTGGTCTTTTTTACGCACCAGGTCCCTTGGCCTCAAATCCTCTGGCTTCCCACGCGGGAGGGGCGGGGACATCCTTCCGGAAAACCCCCTGGTTTCGGAGACGTCGCCGCGGCTCGGCTCGAGCTTCCTGACTTGAGCTTCGAACTTCTTGGGTCTGGACCATTTTGGTTTGGACGATTGGATTGGGACGACCATGACCATTTTTGGGTTTGGGATTGGATTGGATTGGGTTTGGGTTTGGTTTGGACCATTTTTTTGGGGGGTAGATGTGAAGCTTGGGCTTTTGTTGGGCCATCCACTCCGCCAGTGAGCAAGGGATCCCGGATGAATTAATTCCAGCTGCGACTTCAACGACGATCAAGATTTCCCTTTGGGACTCCAGGAGCCAACCGAATCTTTGGCTCATCTTGCCAAGTGCTAACTAATGGATTTTCCGCATTAAACCACTAAAAGTTAAACCTTTAGCAGGGGAGCAGATTATGGGTTTTCCATTAAACCACTAAGAGTTAGTCACTTTTAGCAGGGGAGCAGATTTCGCAACCGAGTAATGGTATAAGCTCGGGGACCAGCGCGAGGGAAGCGATGTCCCAGCAATGTCCAGCGGGATCCCCAAGTGGCTCCCTTTTTCAGCTCACTGGTTGCTTGCGGTTCTTTTTCCCGGTGGTTGTAAGCGGGAAACGAAAGGAACTTGGGCACACTTGAGAGAGAGGACCCCCCCAAACCAAGTCGCGCACAGTTGTTGGGCCTATTTTCTAGGGGTAGCTCCTTGAAGGGATCCTTCTTTCAAAGTTCAAGCTACCAACCCTTGGGAAACAGGTGCCATTCTCTTTTTCTTCGCAGAACGATGGGTTCGGTCAGGCGCTAGCTTGCCTCAACCCCAACCCCCCTTTGGTGAACTGGGAGTGTCTCTCTTTGAGGGTACCCTGGCAGTACCCCTGTATTGGTGGTGTCAAAGGAAAATCAACAGGAAACCAAAACCGAAATCCAATTTGGTGTACCCTCCCACCAGCTAACACGGAAGTGCACAGACCCCTGTAGAAAGACTACTTTCCTCTTGGAAAGGGCCTTTTTGCACTTCCATGTTAGTTGGTGGGAGGGTAACCTTACTGACAGATTCAAGTGGAAGCTCCGGTTTTTTCCGCAGCGAGGTAAGTACCTGTACCCGTCTGACCCTTTGGTGGCGGCCAAGGCGCAAAGCGCCGTTGCTCGGTCCGTGTTTTTGTCGCTCGAAATGCCGGGAGGTTGCCGCGATGTGTATCTAAATTTGCCAGTAGTGCCCTCTTGCCCCTTTTTTTGTGGGGAGGGTTCCCCTACGAAAATGGAGTGCAGAAAAAACGGGTACCAACTTATTCTAAGCTCTCTACTGGAGGACCTAGGTGTTGTTTTTGCTTGGTCTTCGGTGAGGGAAGCCAATAAGTGGTCGATCTGCCAGAGCGACCGCCAAAGCGTCCAGAAGGTCTGCGAAGAGAATCTGGCCGGGAGGGCTGGCCTCATTGGAATCGAGGGCATCCGGAAAAATATGTGTCTTGGGAAGCCAAGGATTGCAACAAGTCTCGTTTTGGGAGCGGGGTCTGTTATTTCCCCAATGTGTTTCGTCTTTTTTCACTGCGGGATGTTCGTTCCATTTTTGCCAGGGGGCGAAAAAGCAAATGGATGATGAACAAAGGTCCTTTACTTGGGGATCCCTGAAATTCAGCCTTTGGAGTTGAAGGAAAACATGCAGAAAGATGGTTGGTATCGGCCTGGAGCTCAGACAACAGCTCCGAACCCCGCTGTCCAATTGTCTGAGTTGGTCCCTTTCAGGACTCGCATAAAATGACATGGCCGTGGGTCAACACCAATGGGATCCCATTTCGGGGGAGGTGCACCACCCATTTTAGAACCTATTTTAGTGGGGATTGGGACGTTCACTGGGGGTACGGGGCTTTGACCCATAGCCACACCTTTGCCCTTTGTTTCTCCTTGACCCAGCGAGAAACTAACAAAAACTCACCCCTATTGCCAATGCTAATTCACCGATACGCCCGGAGACGAAGACGGAAGGACACCAAGGCCAGAGAGGGAGGTTGTGGGGACCCGTGTTTTTTTTTCTTCTCCAAGGGAACCCAAAAAAAAGCGCTGGGTCTGAGTCAAACAGTCGGAACTCTGATTCCACTTCGCAGTGTTCAAGATTGTCTCGAACCTCGTGGGGTTGGCGATCCCCGAATGGGGGGGGGGCTACAGTTGTTGAAGCGTGTGCTTTGGAGGATAACGCCTCCGTACTGTGGATGGACACAACCCATGCGCGCCACCTAAGAAACCCTGATGATTCCTCGTGGTGCAGAATTTCGTCCATCCACAGCATGGGGGCACCCTATATATTGTGGCACGTGCTCACTTGGTGACTGAGTGCGAGGCAGGTGGGCTCCTAGTTTTTTTGGTTTATTTGTTTATTAGTGTATTTATGTATTTATTTCTGTTTTTATTTATTTATTCATTTATTATTTTAAATCGACAGTTTGCAGGTGGCAGTGGCCCTCCTTTATCGGGCGTGTTTTTCCTTTTTTCACCTCATGGCCCATCAGCCATCCTTTGCAGCCCCGTGCCGCCATGTTTTTTTCTGCCGTGGCTTCAGTCGAGGCCAAGGAAGGGATGTTAGGACTTTAACTTTTTGCCAACTAATGGGTTTTCCGTATTAAACCACTAAAAGTTCAACTTTGAACTTTTAGCAGTGGAGCAGAAGGCAACCAAGTTTCTGTCTCCATTGGGTTTCTCAAAGTGTCCGTTGTTTGGTGGTTTTGAAGGGAAAGCACCAGGTAACAGCCCGTCTGAGGGTTCCCCTATAAAGAGAAGCACCATACATACGTATATATATATATATATGTATTTTTATGTGTGTACATGCCCACGCCCGTTTTGCTCATTTGATCATCTGCATTTGCTCATTGTGTCTGCACCCACCAAGCACCAACATGTCAAAACAACATCTAGGCGCAGTCGGGGTGGGGCCTGCCGCGCTTTCAATCGTGCAGTTATATCTCGCAAAGGTGCCGCATGTGCGAAATATTGGGATAATCTTCTTGGTCTAAATGTCGAAGCAAACCTGGCTTCTTCAACTTGGCAGCAGACTTCGCCTTTGGCGACTTCTGGAAGTTGCGGTTCACTCTGGAGCCGGTCGCAATCGTGCGAATTGGTGGCCTTTTCTGCCGGGAAGCACAGCGTAGGACACTCGAGGAGGAGGCTTTTTCAAGCCTTTGCTTCATGCGGGGAGCCAAAGCTGAGAGCATGCATGCTGTATGTGTTTCATGGCCACTCCTTCTTCCTACTGACTTGCGCCACTCCCTACCCTTGTCTTTCTCCCGCTCCTCCTCCGGCTTTGTTCCTCTTCCAATGCTCCTTCCTCCTGCTTCCTCCTCCTTCTCTTTCTCCGCTTTTCTCTTTCTCTCTCTCTGTCTCTCTCTGTCTCTACAAATTTTCTCATTGTCCTTTTTTCTTTCTCCTCCACCTCCTCATCATTGTTTTGCCCTTCGCCTTGCAGTGCAAGTTAGTGCTACCAGCAGCGATGCTTGAGGACAATTTGTCAACCTCGACAATGCGCGCTTACGCCCAACTCGGCCACGCAATGGGAGCCGAAGCCATTCCACCAGAGGTGCCAGGAAGATGGAGAACTGTCCAGCGTGTTTCGACCTGCGTCTTGGCCCAATCTGGGGCGTGAGCGTGCCAGTCACACATGGCTGAATTAGTCAAAAAACACATGCAGTGAAACCGGGCATTTGCCGCAGTCCACAAGCAGCCGCGTGTCACTCCATGTTGCGGACATCGCCAATGTCCACACTGTTGCTGCAGTCTGAGCAGTCTCTTTTTGGTTCCAGCGACCGCAAGAAGTGGGAGCTGGCCTGGACGTACGTGTTGATGCGGGCAGCGTCGCCAATGTAGCTGCAGAGGCCACGCCAATTTGTTGTACCTAGGGTCTTTCTTCAGAGTTTTGAGAGGGGGGCGTTGTTTTTTACATCGTGCTCGACCAGCACTTAGTGGGCCGTTTTGTTTCCCACGACTGTTGGGCACGGATGTTGTTTCTCTGGCTCTGCTCGCAGATGATGATCTGCCGGCAGCTGTGCAGCCAGAACACAAGGGTCTCGCTCCTGGCAACACATATATGCTTCCGCAACTGGATGCAAGAGCGTGTCTTTGCAAGACTTGCGCGGCACGCCACCCACATCATGCGCCACGAGTGAAGCTCTGCAGGATAAGAACCTGAGCCGCTAATATGGCCACGGCAGACACAGCTGCGCGCCACACGTGACCCCAGATATCGCCAGTCTATTTCGGCTTCTTGCGTAGCAAGAGAGGAATCGTGGCGACAAAGGCCAGGCCGAAAGGTATGTGCAATTATCAGACCATTGCCCACACGCGCAGCCCCTTGTAAGATAAGATGGTGGCCGCTTGGGAATTGAGAGCATGCCGCGGCACGGGCGCAGCGGTTAGCGAGCGCTGGCGCGAAGGCGTGCGCGGAAGATTGGACAGCCCGCTGACCGCTCCTTTCCTGCGTCTGGCCATTTTCAAGTGCTCCAACAGCTCATAGACGGATTCGATATTTTTGGGCTTGTGTGCCCTGAGTGCGGCCGCTGCGCTTCTCCCTGCAGATGGACGATGGATTACGCCGAGAATGGTTTCAGCCGTTTTGTGACAGCGCCTCTGATTGCCGGGATGTGCAGCGGCGGGATTCCTAAGTTTCCAATCTTCAAAGTGGCCCTCTTGTCAATCAGCGCGGCGCCACCACGCTTGAAAGGAAGTGCAAGAAACCCGGAGCCTGAGCCGTGCTCACTGCGGCGGCTTTTGCCAACACAGACTTTTTTGTGAAGCTGAATGAAATGCATATGGATTGAAAGCGTCTCATGTTCGCTGGATAGGCAGCCTCTCAACACAACAAGGCCGGTGATGTGAGCTCCTGCGTGGTCACAACCTGTCTGAGTGACAAACGCATCATAGTGAACGCTGGCCACTCACAACGGACAGCCTTCTGCAGTCTTTGAGAAAACCCTTTAGGGGCGGAAGCTCCTTGGCTTGCAAGCGTTGGCAGGCTGACGAAAAGCTGACAGCCAGCGGTTGCGTCTGGTCTACAAGTACGACAGGACGGGTGGCGCAGATCATTCGGCCTAGAAACTTTACAGCCCCTTTTCTCCTTCTTCCTCTCTCTCTTGTCTCCTCCCCCGTGTGTTCTGTCGTCCTCTCTCCCTCCCTCTCCTCCCCATCCTCCCCACCCCCGCACGCCTCTCTCCTCAATCTCCCTCTCTCCCTCTCTCCCTCTCTCCCTCTCTCCCTGTCTCCCTCTCTCCCTCTCTCTCTCTCTCTCCCTCTCTCCCTCTCTCCCTCTCTCCCTCTCTCCCTCTCTCTCCTCTCTCCCTCTCTCCCTTCTCTCTGTCTCTCTATCTCTCTCTCTCTCTCTCTCTCTCTCTCTCTCTCTCTCTCTCTCTCTCTCTCTCTCTCTCTCTCTCTCTCTCTCTCTTTCTCTCTCTCTCTCTCTCTCTCTCTCTCTCTCTCTCTCTCTCTCTCTCTCTCTCTCTCTCTCTCTCTCTCTCTCTCTCTCTCTCTCTCTCTCTGTCTCTCTCTCTCTCTCTCTCTCTCTCTCTCTCTCTCTCTCTCTCTCTCTCTCTCTCTCTCTCTCTCTCTCTCTCTCTCTCTCTCTCTCTCTTTGTTTCTTTGTCTCTTTCTGTCTCCCTGTCTCCTTCCTGTCCATGCGCCTCTGCAAAAAAAAGGGGACCCTTATTATAACCTCTCTACTGGAGGACCTAGTCTTTCTCTCCGTCGCTCTTTCCCTTTCTCTCTCTCTCTCTCTCTCTCTCTCTCTCTCTCTCTCTCTCTCTCTCTGTCTTGATTTCCCTTGCTTTGCGGTCATGTCGACTTCCTATGTCCTCCCCTCATTTCCTTGCACTTCCTTGCACTTCCCCTTTGCCCCCCAGTTTCTTGCAAAAAGCACGGTTTTCCAGCGTTTTCGCAAAGAGGGCGTTAAAAAACACAGAGTTTTTCCAGATTTTCGGCAAAAGGGGGCGGGAAACCCAAACCAGCAAAGAGCCGGCAGGGGGATTGGGGGGGTTAGGGGGGGCAGGGTTCTCCTCTATCCTCTCTTGCGGATTTCCTTACAGCTGCCCGCCCAACACACGCAAAAACATTGTAAACACCCGCGTTTTATTTGAATTAAGTAAAGAAATGCATGAACATGTATATATATATATTTATAACATATACATATTTGTCGAGCCTTGGCATTAAGATGGGTCTCTAAACAAGACAGCGAAGGGCCGGCTTCTTGCTCGCTACCCCAGTATGTTTTTGAGTGCCCAGTAGGTTGGGGCATGAGGCTGGGCACTCTTGTGTTTCATGGGCCGCGCAAAGAAATCCGAAAGAATGGGTTCAGGGCTCCTGACAGCCTGGGCGATGCGCCCAAAAGGCAACAAAGCGTCCCGGACGAAGCGACCCAAAATCAGGTCCAGTTGCGAGGGCACGGCGCCGTGGCTAAACGTTACCTATGATTCCAGGCTACAAGAAGCTTGGGTGCTTTCTGTGGGATCTTTTTGGAACGCGCGGCTGAATACGCGGCTGCGTCGTAATGCCGCGCGGAATGGCAGGGGCGGTACGTTCCATAAGCTTGCGGCGCGAAGCCGAAGGGCAGCGCGCCTTGCAAGATATTTCGATTTACCCGCCTTTCAGGTGGATGAGGTCATGGATGCTTTCGATGACCTGTGGATCCTCCTTGCGCCGACATACAGGCAGGGCCCATGCATGCTTAGCTCCGGGGACCGGCCAGATTGAAACGTGGCCGCCAACGTGAAAAGTTGGTGTTTGAAGCCTTGACATTCGCCAGGTTGGCAATCGGCCCGATGAATGTCGAGGTTCAATTGGGCATCAAAAGTAGAAGGCTGCCAAGCGCAACGCGCAGCTCTGCTTCTCAGGTGAGAGGTGGAGATTGCCTTGGCCGATTGTGCTCACAGACATGGTAACTAATAAGGTGGCTTATGTGATGCAGCCTTGTTGGATGCAATTCACCAGGAGGCTTTTGTTGGTGTTTTTGTTTGTTTGTTGCCACGGGCTTGTTTGCCAATTGCAGCAGCCCAAGCTCCAAGCGCCAACGGCTTTACAAACAATCAGCGAGTGGCATTTGAAAGCAGAACGTTTGCCGCTTCAGGATTCAGGACTGACAGGCCTTTCTCTCAAAACTTGGTCAAGCAGCATGGAAGTGGCGTCAACTTTTGCGCAGAAGTTCCGGCCACGCAGTTGCTCATGTGTGCTAGTATGGTGTCCCTGGGATATGGCACTCCAGGTGTTTGGTTCAGCCTTTGGCCTTTCGACCTTTGGATACGCCGGGGTGTAAAGAAGATCTTGCACGGCGGTTGGCTACGCCTCTCATGCCGTGGCGTTGCATTGACCAAATTTTACATTTCGACCCGGACCTGCAAGTCCCGGAAAGTTATGGGTTCACATGGGTCCATTTCTCATTGTCTGTGGGTCAAAAATAGATACCCACAATGGAAACCCTTGTAAATGGACACATGGACTGAAACCTGTGGTGCCCTGGTGGTTTAATGTTGACCCATACCCATTTCAGTAAGGTCCGTTAAATTGCCCGTGTCATGAGGGAAATGTGGTGTTTCATGGTTTTCGGAGGTTCTTCATCCATAGCGAGGAAGGACTCCGACTCCGGTCTGTCCACCCGCTGTCCAGAAACAGATGTGCTTTGGAGTGTTTTTCAAACGAATCATCTGTGCTGACGTTTTTGTAGGCAAGGCTTGCTGGAAAGTCGCGGGCCGGCACTGGCGTGCGTCATTCTGGCAACGTTGGTATTTTTTGGAAGTGTACGGTTTGTTGTGGGAGGTGAATATGAAAACCACTCAAATGGCTCTTTTGTCCCTAGGATTCCTTCCTATCAGTCTTGCGGGGGTCGTGTCAAAAGCAAGTAGCGCGCCTCTGTAGGAGGAGTGCGACAAACAAAATGAATGAATGAACATATACATATAAACAAGTAAATGTGTATCTACACTTATCCAGAAGCCCAGTGATGCTTCCGAAGTGGGTATACATACGAACCAGGTGTAAGTTACTTTTAGCTCATGTTATAGCTTGTATTCACAAGTACAGCATACAATATAAATCCTTCATGAGTCATGATTCCCGTAACAGGACATAAAGTAGTCTTGCAGTAGGCAGCAACAACAAAGTGACAATTGTTGCATGGGGCATTTTTAGAATTGCTCTTGCAGCCGTCGGAGGGACAAACAAACGGTCATGCATAGCTTTGATGTTTGCCTTTCCTTGAAGTTCTGATGCGCTGACACTCCGTGAAAAAACAAATACAAAAAACAGCCGGACCAAATAATGCTATTTCCCGGATCAATTGGATTCATGACTATTGCAGGGGCCCCCACCCTATTACTGGCACAGGTTTATTAATCTGGGTTCATCATTAACCCCTTCCCCGCCTTGTGTCAGAACCCTTTCCATCCCTCGGAGCCCTTTTCTGGCCGGGGCTTCTGTTTCACGGATTTCTTCGCGGTCTCGCTCCCCTTTCGAGCCGCGAGGATTCAAAACCAGACGCAGAAGGACGGGGTGCAAGGTGGCCGGGGCCGTTTTGGACGGCGTCAACTGGCCTCTTGTGGAAGTTTTGGTTGGAACCCGTTTCAGGTCGGTTTGGCATTTCAGGAAAGCAAAAGGAACACCCACAAAAAAGCTTCGGCCCTACAAAAAGGCAAAAACAAACACACATCCCCTGTTGTTTTTGTTTACGCAGGTGAATGGCATGCACTAGGAAGGGAAGCCACAAGAGTCCACAAGAGGATTGCTTGTGGCGCCTTTTACCACTGGTTGTTCAAGATGGGTGTGCCTTTTTCTTGGGGACCCCAAATGGTGTTTTGCCTTTTGGTGTCCACCTTTTCGAAAAAGGGTACCCCAAGAAAAAGACACCAAGATCTATTGCAGCAAGGATACGAGCCGCAAAACGAGTTTCAGGTTTTTTAAGCCTCGGGCTTCTGGATTTGATGCTAAGATGATTGGCCGTAGTACAGAAAGCGACGTACTCCCGGTATGCTTGGAACAATAGCATGCAGGGGCATCATCAAAGTTGAACCCTGCTCCCGTCGGGCCTGCTCCCGAAGTGGGGTCCCTTGGGACGCACCCCTGCATGAAAGATCTATGGTCGACTCCTCCTTTTTTGTCAAGTGGAGCATGATTGTTTATGTTAGCTTCGTCATATGCCATTTCTCTTACTCGCATTTAGCTTCTTGAGCGCTTGTCGGTCGATTTCTGTGCTTCAATAGGTTGGAAGTTAGGTTGGTACTGCAAGGATTGAGGCTGGCCAGCAAACCTTGGCGGGTGGATCATGCATCTCCACGGGGGCTTCCCCTAACTTGCAGCCAGGGTTCAACAAGTAGTACTGTGGCCCATGCCATCTTGCAACTCAACCAAGCATCAACCACAAGCCCTGTTAACTCACCTTGAAACTGTTCAGGGGTTTCTCACTTTGCAATCTGCTTTTACCGGTGACTTAGCCCAGTTGCCCAGTGGTGCCCTTTTTTCCCTTTTTGGGGGGAAGGCTTCCCTTTAAATTCAACCAACCCAAAAAAGATGCCTTTTTTCCCCTGGCCACTGGGCATCTGAGTCAGCGGTCCCTGGGGCGATCTGGAGCGAGCCATTTGCCAATCATTCGCTCCATGGGGGTGGAGCCGATGTCAGCGTCAGGAGCAGGCGCGGCAGCGGCTCTTCGCAGACGGGGAGGCCACTGTCATGCCGGGAGCCCAGCGAGCGAGCGAGCGGGCGGGCGCTAGGCGGTCGCCGGCGAGGGCTCGAATGTTTGCTGTTTGGCATTTGACATGACCAAAAAAGCATTCCCTTTGAAGGAAATCGAAAGGGTTTGGTTTATGGCCCTCCCTCATTCCAAGATCTTGCTGTTTGGTCGCCACTTTGGATTATGCTGGTTTCCTGATGTTTCCTTTTGAGAGGGACCGAGTAAACTGTTGTAAAGCAGCTCAGCGAAATCCATAAACCACAGGCCAAGGGTCCATCGACTGGGGTCATTACTTTGAGCTTTTCTGGAGGTTCTCAAAGTCGGAAAAGGAGGTTGTTTCCCTTGAGCCCGCTGAGCGGGGGTGAACTTTGATCGCGGTAAACAAATAAACCACTGAATGGGGGTAGCTTTGATCACGGTAAAACAAAAAAAACAACACTGAGCGGGGGTGACTTTGATCACGGTCAAAGTACTGAGGCGTATTCCAGAACATCTGGGGACCCACTCATGATCACTCGCTCGAGACGCGAACTTGAACTCGAGGATCGAGATCTTCGAGAAGATCTTGGAGTCCAGCTCCAACGGCTACGTGGTGCCCCAGGCGCGAAGCGAGCCGAAGCGAAAACGCGACCAAAAGCGAAGCCGCGAGAAAATGGCGAGCGAGCGAATGGGAAAGAACCCCCAACGTTGAGATGGAGAAAGTGGGGGGATGTGCTGTGCCTTTCTTTTCTTTTCCTTTTTTGGTTCTTTTTTGTTGGGGGGGGAAGGAGTTGATGTGGGCTGGATGATGCAAATGCTTAAAGGGGGAAACTGAAGGAGCCAGGAAAATCTATGTCTCGTTCTGGGGGCTGGTTTTCCAGTCTTTGGTTGTTTTGTTTGCTTAGAGGATCTTTGATATGTGGTTGTGCATGTTCAGGCTCACTAAATATGGGCCAGAACCTAATCATACATGTTTTTGTTTTTTGGCAAACACATGTGTTTGGGGAGAAATTGGATTTGGCTGACTGAGGTAAGGGGAAATGGAGGATCCTGGATCCATTTCCCATTTTGGGGGGCCTTGGGGCTGGCTTGTGTGTCTCTGAAATTTGTACTTGGTCCCCATCAATTGCTGATGTTCCTTTGAAATTTGCCAGTGAAACGGCCGCTTCTTTTACTCACTTCCTGAGTTCATGAACTTTAAACTTTTTGGGTTTGGACCATTTCAGTGGTAAATATAAAGTTTGGACTTTTTTTGGGCCATCCACTCAGCCAGTGAGTTTAGTGTTGGTTTTGAAAGGGATCAAGTGGAAGAGAAAAAGCAGCCGTTTGGAGAAGTCTCTGCTTTGGACACCTCGCCAAATCAGCGAAACTAGCAAACACTGATCAAGATCGCTCGATTGCTGCAGTAGATTCCCTATAGTACTACCCTCCTATCCACTATTGTGGAGTCCACCAGAAAGGCCCTTTAAAGGAAGACGGTCTTTCCGAGACCCCCCGCACTGTGAGGTTCCATGTTTGTTAGTGCAAGTAAAACCAGGCACCGACCATTTTGCTTTTTCTCCACCGGCTCCTACGGGAACAGATCCCCCCAAATCCTAGAAACCTTCCTTGGGTTCTTGGGATGTGTCCATGTCAGAGCCAGTGGGCCCAAGGTTGCTGTGCGTTCCACATGTTGAGACGTATCCCTTTGAAGGAATCCTCCTGTTTGGAGAAGCAGCCCACAAAATTGATACGGTTCGATTGCGATCGTTTCTGCAGCCTTTTGAAATTGAGCAGAAGCCACGCATTGGAGACCTAAGCATCGCTCAAATGGCTCAACCCTCGCTTAGTTGTTGCGACCTACATAAAATCTTTGTCAGGCCTCAGCGAAGGTCATGTGGTGAATAGCTCTGGATGCCGAATGGCAACCTCATAAAGGGTCTCTGCGACCTCACCCATGATGATAATTCCTTGGGCAGCCCCAATTTCTTGTTGGTGAAGTGTCACAGTCAACCATACTGGGGATGAATGAAATCCAGTTCGCACCACCCAAGCAGACCTTCAACCTGGTTTCATTTCATGCTGCGAAGGGATTTCGCAACCATCCGCACTATGTACGTATGACCAAGCCATGTGGGGTGTGGATTCCAGGTCACACTCAACAAGGCTTCCAGGGCACCCTTTTCCGCTCGCGTGCTTGCGCGATCTTGCGCGTGTATATCTGTTGTGCAGTGGCACATTTGTTTGGCGTTTCTTGATAGGAGTACCTTGAACTCAGCGAACAAAAAGGCAACCCGACCACTCAACCACTCATGTGGACACTGGACAACCAACAAATCGGGTCACCTTTGGTTTCCCAGTGATTTCACCTAGATGACTAGCTGGAGTTGGCCTTCTTTGTAGCGCGTGCTTCTGGTTTGGCCGTCCCAAGCCGCTGGGTGGGGTAGGCGGGCCTCTCAGTGGCAGACCTCATGTTCTATGGCCCGAGACCCGGAGACGGGCTGGGTGGTCAACCGCAGGGCTCGTAGATGAGAACAGTGGAGTATTCTTCGATGGAAGCTTTGGTACATTTTGCCAAGGGATGTTAGGACTTTAGCTTTTTGCCAACTAATGGGTTTTCCATTAGGACCACTAAAAGTTAAAAACTTTTAGCAGGGGAGCAGAAAGCTCCCTCTAAAATTCGACGACACCACCTTTTGGTCGAAGGCTGGCGATGTCGATTTTTTTGAGTTGTTGCCAGATCTGATCGTCCCCCTGGAATCAGTATTTCGGGAATTCGCTGCAATTGATTGGAACTGCTCACGACGACCGCTTGATGGCGACATGGTTTTGGGGAGCAAACCCCGTTTGATGAGCCTTCTTGAATTATCCATGCCTTTGCTGCATGGCTATGGCATGCATGGGTGCTAATTGAGCTCACCCTTGATGAAGGTCCCTTAGCAGTTCTATAATTCAGCTTGCTGAAAGATAAGTATATCTATATATATATATACCGAGATCGCGACACACACCCACACGCACAGACACACACACACACACATGCACAATAAGGGAAAGGGAGCAATGCAGACACTGTCAACGCGAGGAGGATACAGCAGATACTGCATTCCGTGCCGGACCCTTTCATGCTGGCTCGCGTCTTAAGTTGCACCAAGAGTTTCCTCTCCTGGCCAACCACTGTGTCCTTGTTTCAGCTGAATGCTGTTTATGCTCATGTGCTAGTGAGGTTTGCTTGATGCACATAGCCCTCAAGGATTTGTGGCTGAAACAACATGTTTTCTGCTAGCGTTCAATATGGGTATGTCCTTTTAGAGGGACCCTTCAAAAAACACACACACACACACACACCAGCAGCAAAAGGGTGTGTTGAATTTGGCTGACAAATTAAATGCTACACAAATGGGTACCCTTAAAGAAAACAACCATCTGGCCTTTCCAAGAGGAACTCTCGTGCAAGGCCCTGACGCCGTTGCATGTGGGCCCAAAAGCTTTTCCGCTTCCGGCGGGAAAAGGGGTTCATTTGTTGGAAACAAATTGCAAAAATCACCCCCTCCCCTGAAGGGGACCCCCCAACCCCCCCCAAACACACCCCCTTGAGAAAGAAAAAAACAAAACAATTGGAGATGTGCTTGGGGGCTAGTGTGTTTGAGAAGTCCTAGGAAAAGTTCTGTGAAACCTAGGAACCCGATAAATTTTGGTCGAAAGACTCGGGTCAAGAGGAGGACACGGCCAGGACCAGTTGTCCAATGGCCGTGGGTTTGTCTCATCGAAGCCCCGAAATTGTCGGAGTGCCTTTTGGCGAATCCTTCTCAAGCAACCCTGAAAAGGGTACCTGCAAAACCGACATCCCTTGGCCATGTCTCAAATCAGGGGACCCCCGAACAACCCCTGCTTCTTCTTTTTTTTTGGATGGTTTGGACCACTTGCTCGGGGTTCCTAACTTTGAGTCAAGATGTCCAAAATGTGTCCTTTCGCACAACCCCCGAAATTTGGAGTGCTTCCAATCAACCTAACACACCAAACAAACAACCCAAAAAGGAAAACTTAAGGCAAACTAAAAGCAACTACCGCATGCCCCATGGGTTCATATCAGCTTCATGCCCTCGTCTCGGGCCTCCGAAATCGTTTCGCCTCCGTCGATCTTTCTTTTTTCGGCCGAGCCTTCCTCACGAACATCCGCTCCGGCTTCGTGGCCCGGCAGCCCAGGTCCCCCAGCGATCGGGGCCCTTTTTTCGCCGTTTCTCTTTTTTTTTGGGGAGGGTTCCCCTACTAAAATAAGCTCCCCTACTAAAATAGGCTCCCCTACTAAAATAGGCTCTCCTACTAAAATAGGCTCCCCTACTAAAATAAGCTCCCCTACCAAAATAGGCTCCCCTACTAAAATAGGCTCCCCTACTAAAATAGGCTCTCCTACCAAAATAGGCTCCCCTACTAAAATAGGCTCTCCTACTAAAATAGGCTCCCCTACTAAAATAAGCTCCCCTACTAAAATAGGCTCCCCTACTAAAATAGGCTCCCCTACTAAAATAGGCTCTCCTACTAAAATAGGCTCCCCTACTAAAATTGGCTCTCCTACTAAAATAGGTTCCCCTACTAAAATAGGCTCCCCCTACCAAAATAGGCTCCCCTACTAAAATAGGTTAGGCCCCTACTAAAATAGGCTCCCCTACTAAAATAGGCTCCCCTACTAAAATAGGCTCTCTCCTACTAAAATAGGCTCTCCTACTAAAATAGGTTCCCCTACTAAAATAGGCTCCCCTACCAAAATAGGCTCCCCTACTAAAATAGGTTCCCCCACTAAAATAGGCTCTCCTACTAAAATAGGCTCCCCTACTAAAATAGGCTCTCCTACTAAAATAGGTTCCCCTACTAAAATAGGCAAAATAGGCTCCCTACTAAAATAGGTTCCCCTACTAAAATAGGCACCCCTACCAAAATAGGCTCCCCTACTAAAATAGGCTCTCCTACTAAAACAGGCTTCCCTACCAAAATAGGCTCCCCTACTAAAATAGGCTCTCCTACTAAAATAGGCTCTCCTACTAAAATAAGCTCCCCTACTAAAATAGGCTCCCCTTGTAAAATAGGCTCCCCTACTAAAATAGGCTCTCCTACTAAAATAGGCTCCCCTACTAAAATAGGCTCCCCTACTAAAATAAGCTCCCCTACTAAAATAGGCTCTCCTACTAAAATAGGCTCCCCTACTAAAATAGGCTAAAATAGGCTCCCCTACTAAAATAGGCTCTCCTACTAAAATAGGCTCCCCTACTAAAATAAGCTCCCCTACTAAAATAGGCTCCCCTACTAAAATAGGCTCCCCTACTAAAATAGGCTCTCCTACTAAAATAGGCTCCCCTACTAAAATTGGCTCTCCTACTAAAATAGGTTCCCCTACTAAAATAGGCTCCCCTACCAAAATAGGCTCCCCTACTAAAATAGGCTCTCCTACTAAAATAAGCTCCCCCTAAAATACTAAAATAGGCTCCCCTACTAAAATAGGCTCTCCTACTAAAATAGGCTTCTACCAAAATAGGCTAAAATAGGCTCCCCTACTAGGCTCTCCTACTAAAATAAGCTCCCCTACTAAAATAGGCTCCCCTTCTAAAATAGGCTCCCCTACTAAAATAGGCTCTCCTACTAAAATAGGCTCCCCTACTAAAATAGGCTCTCCTACTAAAATAGGTTCCCCTACTAAAATAGGCTCCCCTACTAAAATAGGCTCCCCTACTAAAATAGGCTCCCCTACTAAAATAGGCTACCCTACTAAAATAGGCTCCCCCTAAAATAGGCTTCCCTACCAAAATAGGCTCCCCTACTAAAATTGGCTCTCCTACTAAAATAGGCTCTCCTACTAAAATAGGCACCCCTACCAAAATAGGCTCCCCTACTAAAATAGGCTTCCCTACCAAAATAGGCTCCCCTACTAAAATAGGCTCTCCTACTAAACTAGGCTTCCCTGCCAAAATAGGCTCCCCTACTAAAATAGGCTCTCCTACTAAAATAGGCTCCCCTACTAAAATAGGCTCCCCTACTAAAATAGGCTCCCCTACTAAAATAGGCTCTCCTACTAAAATAGGTTCCCCTACTAAAATAGGCTCCCCTACTAAAATAGGCTTCCCTACCAAAATAGGCTCCCCTACTAAAATTGGCTCTCCTACTAAAATAGGCTCTCCTACTAAAATAGGCACCCCTACCAAAATAGGCTCCCCTACTAAAATAGGCTTCCCTACCAAAATAGGCTCCCCTACTAAAATAGGCTCTCCTACTAAACTAGGCTTCCCTGCCAAAATAGGCTCCCCTACTAAAATAGGCTCTCCTACTAAAATAGGCTCCCCTACTAAAATAGGCTCCCCTACTAAAATAGGCTCCCCTACTAAAAAAGGCTCCCCTACCAAAATAGGCTCCCCTACTAAAATAGGCTCTCCTACTAAAATAGGCTTCCCTACCAAAATAGGCTCCCCTACTAAAATAGGCTCTCCTACTAAAATAGGCTCCCCTACTAAAATAGGCTCCCCTACTAAAAAAGGCTCCCCTACTAAAATAGGCTCCCCTACTAAAATAGGTTCCCCTACTAAAATAGGCTCCCCTACTAAAATAGGCTTCCCTACCAAAATAGGCTCCCAAAATAGGCTTCCCTACCAAAATAGGCTCCCCTACTAAAATAGGCTCTCCTACTAAAATAGGTTCCCCTACTAAAATAGGCTCCCCTACTAAAATAGGCTCCCCTACTAAAATAGGCTCCCCTACTAAAGTAGGCTCTCCTACTAAAATAGGTTCCCCTACTAAAATAAGCTCCCCTACTAAAATAGGCTCCCCTACTAAAATAGGCTCTCCTACTAGAATAGGCTCTCCTACTAAAATAGGCTCCCCTACTAAAGTAGGCTCCCCTACTAAAATAGGCGCCCCTACTAAAATAGGCTCTCCTACTAAAATAGGCTTCCCTACCAAAATAGGCTCCCCTACTAAAATTGGCTCTCCTACTAAAATAGGTTCCCCTACTAAAATAGGCTCCCCTACTAAAATAGGCTCCCCTACTAAAATAGGCTCCCCTACTAAAATAGGCTCCCCTACTAAAATAGGCTCCCTACTAAAATGGGTTCCTCTACTAAAATAGGTTCCCCTACTAAAATAGGCTCTCCTACTAAAATAGATTCCCCTACCAAAATAGGTTCCCCTACTAAAATAGGCTCCCCTACCAAAATAGGCTCCCCTACTAAAATAGGCTCTCCTACTAAAATAGGTTCCCCTACTAAAATAGGCTCCCCTACTAAAATAGGCTCTCCTACTAAAATAGGTTCCCCTACTAAAATAGGTTACTAAAATAGGCTCTCCTACTAAAATAGGTTCCCCTACTAAAGTAGGTTCCCCTACCAAAATAGGCTCCCCTACTAAAATAGGCTCTCCTACTAAAATAGGCTTCCCTACCAAAATAGGCTCCCCTACTAAAATAGGCTCTCCTACTAAAATAGGCTCCCCTACTAAAATAGGCTCCCCTACTAAAAAAGGCTCCCCTACTAAAATAGGCTCTCCTACTAAAATAGGTTCCCCTACTAAAATAGGCTCCCCTACTAAAATAGGCTTCCCTACCAAAATAGGCTCCCTACTAAAATAGGCTCTCCTACTAAAATAGGCTTCCCTACCAAAATAGGCTCCCCTACTAAAATAGGCTCTCCTACTAAAATAGGTTCCCCTACTAAAATAGGCTCCCCTACTAAAATAGGCTCCCCTACTAAAATAGGCTCCCCTACTAAAAAAGGCTCCCCTACTAAAATAGGCTCTCCTACTAAAATAGGTTCCCCTACTAAAATAGGCTCCCCTACTAAAATAGGCTCCCCTACCAAAATAGGCTCCCCTACTAAAATAGGCTCTCCTACTAAAATAGGCTTCCCTACCAAAATAGGCTCCCCTACTAAAATAGGCTCCCCTATTAAGATAGGTCCCGCAACTAAAATAGGTTCCCCTACTAAACTAGGCTCCCCTACTAAAATAGGCTCCCCTACTAAAATAGGCTCCCCTACTAAAATAGGTTACTAAAATAGGCTCTCCTACTAAAATAGGTTCCCCTACTAAAATAGGTTGCCTACTAAAATAGGCTCCCCTACTAAAATAGGCTCTCCTACTAAAATAGGTTCCCCTACTAAAATAGGTTCCCCTACTAAAATAGGCTCCCCTACTAAAATAGGCTCTCCTACTAAAATAGGTTCCCCTACTAAAATAGGTTCCCCTACTAAAATAGACCACAGAAAAGAATCGGGTACTAACTTCTTCTACCCTCTATAGTGGAGGACCTAGATGGTATCTTGGTGGATCCCGAAGGCCATCCGGCTCCTTAGCTTTTTAGCTTTTCAGTGTTTAGTGGTAGTTTCCATTTAAACCACTAAAAGTTTAACTAGAGTCTCTCCATGACCCTTTAAAAATAGGGTTGTGACCCCTTTCTTTTGGGTAATGACTCTTTTTTTAAGGGTCATGGAGAGTCTAGGTAGAAACGCATGACCCCAAAGTGGCCCTCCTTTTGGTTTCCCCTTCAAACCAATCCGAAAAAGGTACCCTCAAACACCCAAACAAAGGTCCTGCAAGTGGGGGGGACCCCAAAACTGACGGTTTCTCCTTGGTGTCCCTTTGAACCAGCCCCTAGGGTACCCACAAAAAAGATGCCGAGACATGGATGGTTATGTATGGTTATATAATCTGCAAAAGTGGGGGGATGATGGGCAGGTTGTGGAATACAAACGGAACTGCGTTCTGGGCGTGAGGCATTCAAATGGGGCCCCGTGGCTACATCAAAGCCAAAAGTCATGATCACGGGATCATACTGATTGCATGTGCTCAAACATCCGGGGATGGACAAATCCACTTCGCATCAGCTGGGATGATCGAAGCCCAAGGGCATAATCCACCGATCTGAGCTGGTGCGAAACAGATTTCGTCCATCAACAGTAGTTTCGGGGTTTCTCCTTTGGCGACATGTTTCACCAAGTTGCTACTGCAGTTGTTCAGCGGGTTTCCCGCGTCCCTTTGGGTTCGGCTGGGAGTCGTGTTCGGAAAAGGTCGGCCAAGAGCGGCCCCGAACATTGAAGAAGAGCCGTGTTTTGCTGCCGGTACTTGTGTTTTTGAATTGATCCTCTTTTTGTCACCTGCCCCGCAAGCGCTCGCTGCCCTCCTCGCGTCTTTACATGATACTCGGAATGTCACCGTTGAGAGAAGCGCTCAGTGTCTTGGCGCATTGCACCCCACTTTTCAACTCACTTTGCATGGCGGTTGGACATCCAGCTGCGGGGAGGGGGGAATGTTCAAGTCGATCATTTAAGAAGCCCTACACAATGCAATTGGGGGAGGGGATGAAGACTTAGAGGAAGGGAATTAAGGGACCCTCCACCCTCTTCCTCTCTGAAGCTATGGGGTTGTTAGTCTCCTTGTCTTTTCTGAGGAGACTCGTTCTAGGGCCGCTGAATGTTTGCAAGCTTGTTTCTCGCTTTCAACTATGTTGGGAACATGTCGCAATTCAAGATAAATTCAGTCGACTCGCCCTGGCCAAATTCCAACAACGACTACGCCCAAACATCAGCCAGCCAGTGCGCTCGAAGTGGGAAGGGAACACTTCATGCAGATTGTGCCATTTTTAGAGGCGTCTTATAAAGTGACAGGGTTATCACCTTACCCCTTGTTATCGATTTCTCAGTTCACGTTTTCTGGGGGTTCCTTCGGTATTCTCCTTTGCACTGAGGAGGTGCCCTAATGCTAAATTTGCAACCTCCATCCCCTCCCGCAACACTCAAAGCAGCCAAAGTCACTACGCGAGGGCAGGAGTTGCGGCATTTTCAAAGGGGGGCACCTTGAACTGTTTTTTTCCTGTTGGCTTCCCTTAAAGAACCAGCCACTGTTTGCTGTCTTGAGTTAGCAACGTTGCATTTCTTTTCTAGCACGCCATGTGAAAACTTGGCGATCACAGAACTCTGGGCGTTCATCTGAAGCCAACACCTGGCGTTTTGGCACCTGGTGACGCACAATGTAACCATGCAACTCACAACCGGAAATCCGCAAACCGCGAATCCGCAATCCGCAAATCATTGGGATATAGCAAGGCATTCAAACTGGCCATTCTGGGGAACGAAATATCCCGTATACATGCGGAACTTACCAGTTCCAACACACGGTTTTGACTCACAATTTGCAGCGGATTACGGATTACCAACCAGAAATGGATGGAGCGGATTACGGATTGTGATTAGGCCCCCATAGATTTCGAACAGTCTAGTATTCGTTTCAAGGTGAACACCCCACCAAAAGATGCTACCCCACAACAAAAATAACAACCCGCTTGTTTGATGGTATAACCCCCGCCTCCAGACATGACGGCAAGCCACTGATCCCACATGCTCCGCCCAAAAAGTCGACCTGAGGAGGGTTTGGGGCCGTCGCTTTTCGAGCGCTTCCCGAGCATTATGAAGCACAAGGCTCCGCGTGGGAGGGGCAGAGGGGAGGGTGCGGGCTTCCCTCGGAAGGTGGAAGGTTGAACTGGGGAGTGGGATTGGTCCTAAGGAGTCCCGACTCATGAGAACTCATGAGAACCTCGGTTGATTTTTTGATTGGGGAGTGCCCCTTTAGATCACATTTGTGGGTGAAATCTGGGGTGAACATCATCTACAACCCAAACATGGAGCGCATCGCATGTCATGGTATGTCATTTCATTTTCCTTAGCAACAACTGGCAACATCTTCCCCTCCCCCATCAAGAGCTGGCAAAAGCTCGCTCCCAATGGTCAAAGGTGTAGGATCCTACCAACACCTCCAGTGCCGTTTGGTCCTTCCATTTTCTCCCTTTCAAATCAAGCACCAAGAAGGTGCACCCTTTTCTCCCTATAGCCGAAAGTGCTCCATTACTAGGTCCCCCAGTAGTGCCCCTTTTTTCCCCCTTTTTTGGGGAGGGTTCTACTAAAATAGACTTACAGAAAAAAAATCGGGTACCAACTTATTCTAACCTCTCAAATCTGGAGGACCTAGATGAGATCTGGGAACCTTCGCCGTGTTTCTCGTTGGGTCCTTGGGCTCGCAAGTCCAGCGGCCGAGCAGCACGCATGTTCAAAGGGAGCGGTTGTAGGTGTGGGGGTCAAAAATGGGTAGCCAACATGGACTCGTAAATGGGACACACTGATATCATCTGGGGTCCCCTGGTCAAGCTTTCGACCTCCATATCCATTTCTCTGCCCACTTTCGTGGGTTTTTTGGGAGGAGAAGTTTGCCCAGACGCTCCGCATGGCTGCAGAAGCTGGGCGCAGCTTTTGATCTGAGGCTTTTTGGTCCTTCCGGCAACTTCCTGATCCCCCCCGAGAAAAACAAAAAAAGGGCGAAGGCCCAGGGCTACACTCCCCTCCCACGTTGCCATGGCACCTGAGGGTCCCTTGGACAACGAACTTCCAGGCACCATTCCATGGAAGGGAGGCTACCCCCCCCTTTTTCCTCGTGCCCTGGAGTTTCCCTTGCGGGTTTGGCAGGAATCGCCATGGCCGCAGCATGAGGCTGCCAGCTTGTGACGTGCTGTTTGGCCCAGTGTGTATAGCGTGATTGGGATCCCATGAGGAATGCTCCAGCGTTGTTTTCCCTCTGTATTTGTAAATAAATGAATAAATCACTATATATATATATACACACATGTCTTTGGAGCTTGCTATTTGTGGGGCTGGTGTTAAAGGGAATCCAAACGGAAACAACCCATTGGGGGGGTCTCCCTGTTTTGATATCTAAGGATACCTACCTATATACGTCTGGCAGGGGCGCTTTTACTTTGATCATCATCACATATCCCTACCGGAACGATGGGCCAATGTCAGGACTTGTCCCAAGGCACACTTTTGGCCATTTAAAGCACGACTAGTTTTCAGTTTCCAACAGAAAAGTGAGATTTGAGGGCGGAGAATACGGCTCCGTGATTTTTACGGTACCCTTTTCCGGTCGGTTTAAAGGGAAACAGAAAAGAACATTTCTTGGGCCTCCTTGTTACACAAACCAATCGCCGCTTCGGGATAGAAAGCGGTTCCAGGAGCTGATTGCCAGCATCCCGGAGGTGCAGAGGTACTACACCAAGCAATGCAGCGCCATGCCGGCGGAAGTTGGCTTCCCTTTTTTTAAAATCTTGATGTGCTCATTTGCCCCAAAGCGAATCGACCTTTTAACCTGTTGGTTTCCCTGACCTGATTTGGTCCATATTTAGTCAAGGTTCCAACAGGTTAACCTTCTATTTCCTGGTTCTTTGGGCAGAAGGGTCCTTTGGGCAGAGGGGGTGTTCGCTTCAGCAAGAAAGGGTGCCCTAAGTTTCCACCGGGTTTCTGGGAACCAGTTCTAAATGGGTCCTCATATTTGCAGGGGGATATTTGCATACTGAGGTGCACGGGATATGGACCAGAATCAAACAGAACATATTGGTTGGTAGTCATGTGGTGTTCTGTTTGTTTCTCCTTGTCTTGGTTTGCTGTTGGCGTCCCTTCGCTGTACAATAGAGCAAACACATGGCACCACCAAGTCTTGGAACCAAACGCGCGTCTATCTGGCCATGACTTTTGTTTGTGGTGAATCACCTCAGAAGTGGTTGGACATCAATCCCCACCTAACTCTGATGTTTGTTTGAGTAGAAAATAGGGGTCGATTCCTGGTTGACCTGGTTGTTTCATAATCTCATCTTTCTTTTCCCAAAAGGGCACCACCTATGGCCAGCGGTTTCGCTCGAACGCTTAGGGCGAAGGCCAACCTAAGGCGGGAGGATGGCGGGGTTGAAGCGCCTGCCTCGCCAGGCGGGGCTGCCCTTCTATGAGGTGGGTGGCGGGTTGGGTTGGGTGACATTTGCCCGGATCTGGACTTGGCAAATGAGAGAAACACGAAGATCAAACCACTGTAAATTCCAAAATCGCGAAACACGAAACTCTGACTTCTGCGCTTCTCCCCACTCGACTTTTTAAGCCACCCCGTATGACTCGAAAAGCGCGAGACATGAACACATATCAAACGTCTGCGCTCTTTTTCCCCACTCGATTTTTTAAGCACGTAAACGTTTAGCAGAGGGGTTGAGGTGAGAAGCAAAGACCTTCGACTTCAATTTCTGGGAACCGATGTGCGCCTTGCGACTTTTCGCAGCCTAGCTGGCGAAGGCTTGCCGACCTTAGAGATCTATGGACAAGATCCTGCACCAGGTGGTTTATCCCAGGGTGTCACCCATCCCATGAACAGCGGCAGGTGTTGTTTTCCATGCACAGTACTGAAGAAAAGCTGTCGCGACACAGCGCAAAGCCTCGGCAAATCAGGCCTCGACGGGAGGCCCTCACCAGTTTTGTTTTTACTTTCCAACATGCCGGCTGCGCTGGTGGTTCAGGGGCCTACTTGGTTGATGGCATTGCAGGTGGGAGACAAGGAACGCCCCGTCAATTTCCACGGTTTGTGGCAAGTTTGCGCGAATGATTTGGGGATTTGCTCCACCATAGCTTGATATGGCTGTGTCTTTTTTAATGGAAATCTGTTTGGGGTTATTTTAAGGGAAGCCAAATGGAACCCATTTAGAGACACGGAGCCACTCGCAGGCATTCCTGCCGGGCAAGTGAGAATGCTGGAGGTGCAGTTTCGGGCGACTGCCCAGATACTTCCGGGTCGTTTCAGCGTCGCTTCAAGAATGCTTTCAGCTATCAGATGCGTATCTGACAAGAATGGAGACCCAAACAATGCATATTTTTGTTTGTGCTTCCCTTTGGAGCAAGGTGAAAAGGATACTCTCAATAAACCACGACGCCTAAATTCGCTGGCGGTGTCAATAGGTACAGCTTCTTGGAGATGTAGGCTCCAGCTACCTATGCTTCTTTCAACCTTCTTACTCACTTGCCCAAAGCGAATTGACCTTTTGATCTGTTCTTTGTCCCCTTTTTGCCAGTGTTTCGTCAAGTTTCAAAGGTTAACCCTTTGTTTCCATACTTTTGCGGCAAGTGAGTCTTGCATCAGATTTCCCACAGTTTTGTTGAAAGCTGGAACTGCAGAGCACTGAGTAGAGATCATGCCCATGCGAGGAAGTTACGATGTTACGGTGTGAGACGCACGGGGATGTCAAGTTGAGGAAGCTCATTCTGATCGTGGCGAAAAGTTGTGGACGCAGGAGCTTCAAGTTCGAAGCATTGGATGCTTTGCACCTCCCGAGCTAATGACCGTCTCACTTGCACCTGGCTGCCTGTCAAATGACCCAGTGGCATAGCAACCTAGTGGATGGAAGGGCTCGCCCGTTTCCTTTCTCTTCCAGTTGTTCCCCCTGCAAATGAGCCTGCGGGCGTCTTTGTGTCAGTTTCAGCCTAGGCGCCAGGCCAGCGACAGCGGAGCTATGTGGAGAATTCCGGGACTCCATCGATTCGGCCAGAGAAAGCTGCGGCCCTGAAGTCGGGTTGGGCCCTGAAGTGCAGGTGTAGTGACCCGAAAGGGATTCGAGCAACTGGGGACCTGTTTACTAGAACTTCAGGACCTGTTTTAGGGTCACTTGTTGGGATTCTCCGGTCTTGGCGATTTTTGCGCACATCAAGACTTGGGCCTGTTTCCTGCGGCCACAGCTGATTCGGCGCTTCTACCGAAGCTTTCCTATGCTTGATCCAAGCATGTCCATGTGGAGGCCAAACATGGTCACGAACAGGCAGGACACGGCAACTTCGTTCCAGACCTCCGATCCAAACCCCTATTCCAGCGTGGGAAAGAAGGAAAGGGAAAGGTAGCACTGCAGCACCTCTTATTTCTGTGCTTGGAGTGGCTTTACTAAAATAAGGGCTTGAAGGTTGTGTAATCAATCAGAACTAGCTTAAGGCGAATTTCGCACCTACACAAATCCCAATTCACTGCCAAACAAACCATAGACCTCAGATGGGAAGAGGGCAGCGAGATCACGCCATGAGTCGCGTGTGGCTTGCTCAAGTTCCGGACTTGACGACTGGGGCTTGGAGGCCCTGAATCGGCACCGCACTCAACTTGCAATCGGTGCGAGAGAGTGGGCGATGACCCGAAGATCAAGCATCCAACTGCTGCTGGTTTCCCTTCTTCCAAAGCCTGGGTTCATTCAACAAAACATTCCCTACTGAACCTCACCACCTAAATAGCCAAGTTGCGATGCTTTCTTTTTTCACTCACTCTTGCTGGTGTTTGGGGGTTTTTGTGCATAGGGGGAAAAACAAAACGATCGAGTGAAGCAACTGAAGCCAGACACGTTGCCGAGTCCAGAGGGTTGCACAGGGCCACTCCCCGTGGGAAAACGCAGTCAGAAGGGCAGGCAATACTCCCAGCGCGGCCATGGGAGAGGACAAGGACAAGCCCGGAGAGTCAGGCCATCGGGACAGTGCCCAAGAGGCAACTTCCTGGTGGAAGCTCGGGGTCTTTGCCCAAATCACGGGTGGCTCGGAGCAGCCTTCCAGAAGGGTTCCGGAAGGGTTCCGGAAGGGTTCCAAGAAGTTCTGGGGGCTGTTGGGGATACCACCTGGGCTTTCTTGGCTTTCCTTGATTTCAACTGAAAACAAAAGACCTACAGACGCCAACGGACGCGATGGCTATGGCTCATTTGGGGAGAGAACTGGGGACTGGTCAATGCCCCCCCGATTTATCCTCAAAGCGGGAGACTGCTGAGACGAACGATTGGGTGCCAAATTTATTGTGCGCTATTTTGTTCCTAGTATGCCGGGATGCTTCTATGAGCGGCTTCCAGATTAGACTTGATCACAAAAGACTGGTTGTCACATTACTGGCCAATACTGGCCCATCATTGTAGGACATATCATTATTCCTCTCTTTGTTGAAGATGTACGTGCCAAAATAGGGGTCCCCACAAAGGTTCCCCTTTGGTTTCCCTCTAAAGCAACTTGAAAGGGATGCCATCTAGAAAACACACAGATCCACCCAAACCGTTTGGAGCCTTTTCGTGGTCACTGCAATGGTTCGGTTTGTGACTCACTGGTCCCGGACGGTGAGTCAGTGTTTTGAGCTACAAAGAGATCGGCTGGCAGCATTGACACCCTGAACGATGCCAAATGGCCTTGTCTCAATTTGGGGCTCTCGAAAAAGTGGTTTCCCTTTGGTTTTGTTCTAAAACCAGCCAATAACAAAAATACTCCACCCTCCAATAGACCCTCACCAGTGCGTTGACGTGTTTGAGTCCCAGTGGTTGACTCCTTGTACAGCAGAAAGGACGTGGACGTGCGGAGGGCTAGCTTCAAAACCTTGAGGGAAACCAACAGAATCCAAACAGTTTGTGGGTCCGCAACCGAACTAACAACTCACTTTCAGAGGAACCTCCTTTTGGTGCACGGTGCACCCCTTTTGCGGCTTTTTCCATGTCAAGCATCCACAACAGGGCTCAGGATTCCTGTGCATGGGAAGGCCCCTTTTAAGCAGAGTATTGTCAGGTCAAAGCTAAGCTTCGGAGCGTTCAGACCCAGGTCATCAGCCCTTTGGAAGGGTATGGATCCGCCTCTCTTGGATCTTTCCGAGTCCCAGAAAATGACAACACCATCCTTCGGGATTGTCATTTGAGGATTTCACTTGGCTGTGGCTCTGGAACCCATGGCAAAAAAAACAAACAAGAAGTGCACACTCTTCTCGCGATCATTTCTGCAAGGCCGCCCCAAAGCCATCCTCAGCACCCGCAAGAGGCCGGAGGGGTGTTGTTTGCCTGGATTTCCCATGCAATGGATCTATGAAGACTTGTAAGTGATGTTCACCCACGTCAAATACAACCCATAGGCTGAGTTACGCTATTCCCAACATATACCTCAAGTAGCTTCTTGGCATGGCATGTTTGGGTTTATAAAAGCAGTAGTTTGAGGGGTTCTCATTTTTTTCCTTTGGAGCTTCTCTTGAAATTGCACCATGGGAGTTATCATTTAGGATGTCACTTTGGCCGTGCACCAAAGCAACGTTCAGTCGCTCAATCAGGCGCTCAGGCCGACTCAGGAAAAGTCGCCAGAGCGAGAATTGGCAGACGTCTCCAATGTCACATGTCAGGTCTGTCCTTTGAGGGCGCGCGTGTTGGGGTCAACTACTTTAAAGGGACCAAACAGAAGACCAATTGTGTGGATGGACGAACGCCATTTCGCATCACCTAAAGACCCCATGATGATTCCCCTGTAAATACCAACAGAGGTTATGGTTTCAACCCTGGTTTTAAAGTGGTGCGAAATGGAATTTACAAGCGTCCACATATTTTTTGGGGTCCCCCGATTTTTAGCCACACCCACCCGTTGTTGTTCTTTTGCCAACCTGTTTGCAACGAAGTACGCCCAGGGCGCAACACCTGAAGGTACCCCAAAAGCGGCATATTCCGCACTTTGAGTGTTTGATTTCATCCGAACCCTCCCTCGGTCGACTTTCTTTGGTCTGGTTGGTGGAAACCGAGGATTTTTCCCTCAAATGTCATTTTTGGGTCGCACCCCAATCTGGGGATTGTCCTACTTATGCCCCCCCCACAGGGCCTCGTCGCCACTTGAGTCCGCCGATATTTTACACGTGCTGGTTCCCTACAAAAGCCTTAAGGGGGCCCTTTTGTTATGGCTTTTGGCCCCCCAAAGGCTTCAAATAAAATCTCTTTTGGGTGCCTACCCTCCCTCCCACTAACATCGCACCTGCGGGAGGGTACCTGCAAGATCAATTTCCTCTTGGAGGTGCTATGTTAGTTGGAGGGAGGGTAGGTATTGTTTGATGCTTGAAGATGCAGGGTTGGCAGCATGTTGACCCGACAGCCTTGCTTGGAATGAAATTTGACATGTGCGATCAATATCCAGAATACGCCCAGTTCCTCCAACGTTTCACTTTTGTGATGTGTGACTAGTGACTGTCAACTTGCCCGAAATCAATGGCTCTTTGTGCCTGCAGGGTCGGCTCATCTGATCTTGCGATCTTTGGCTTCTCGGTGCGTTTGGTGTGCCGATGCAGCCAGCTCGGGCTACTCCACCCCATCCGGGACCCAAATCCTTGTTTTAAGGCCTGGGGTCAGAAGCCGGTAAGGACATTGTGTGCCACAGGCGCAATCTGAAGGCACGCTGAACAGTATTGCTTGGTCCTCCAGTAGTGCCCTTCTCTCCCCTTTTTTTTCCGGGAGGGTTCCCCTACTAAAATAGACTACAGAAAAGAGGGTACCCTTATTCAAACCCCTCTACTGGAGTACCTAGTATTGCTTGCTCCAGCATGCCATATGTGTGTTGTCCTTTGGCGGCTTTCGGGGGCAGAGGACCAGGATGAGCACTGTTTAGCCATCCATGGGCTGAGAGCAGAGGACTCAGTGCAAAAGAATGAGCCATGCAAACGGACGTGTTGCCAACCGCAATTTGCTGGACCCCATTTTGACACATACCCACAAGACCAGAGGAAATTCACTTACAGCGCACGAGATCTGCTACAAATGGGACGCCCACAAATGCCCAACCCCGTGCAACAGTGGGACCCCCAACCCAAGGTTGGGGCAATGTCCTTGCGACGAGCCGACCTCAATTGGTTTAGGAATGTGCTTTTGGTGATCCACACTAGGGGTGGCTGGATGATTGCATTGGGTCCTTCTGGGAGCAACCCCCCCCTCGTTTTCAAGTTTGTTGGTCCTCCTGTTCCGGATTCTCGTTTTGGGTTCCATGTTGATTCGCGTTCCAGGTTGTGGATCTCCATGTTCCTTTGGGTTTGTCTCAAAATGGGCGTACCCCACAAAATGGCGGTTTTTCTTTTTGGCTTCCCTTTCAACCAACCCCCCAAAAACTTGCTGGTGCGAAATCAATCGGCAGGGAATGAGACATGGAATGAGCCGAATATAAACCCTCCACCTGGTTTCCTTTCAGGGGGCCCCTGATTTCATTCCTTCGTTCCCTACACCCCACCCCACCCCACCCCGCCCCAGCCCCGCCCCGCCCCACCCCACCCCACCCCGCCCCAGCCCCGCCCCGCCCCGCCCCAGCCCCAGCCCCACAAGAAACAGGTCACACAAAGCGACGAGCCGCTCGCTTTCGCCAGGCCACTGGAAGGAGAGCACAGCTCTGGACGGGTGAGCTGGGACGAGGCCCGGAAAAGGCGACACCGCCTGGGTGAAAGCACATGAGCCACTTGCTCAAAACCCGGGTAGATGAAGGTTAGTAAGGACCAGTCCCAGCCAAAAATAGTTGCGGATATCTGAAACTTGAAGTGGGGAACCCTTTGGACATCAAAAGAATAGAGTTGGACATCAGAAAAGGAGATTCTTATGTCCGCCAATTCTTATGATCGGGAGCAATGAAACGAAAAAGGGTGGCGATGTCCGCCAACTGCTCAGGGGTTCCCTTCAAATTCATAGCTGGTTGTCAACCATTCGGCTTAGTGGTTCAGTCGTTGGGCTTTAAACAGACTGTTTGAGATCGCTTTAGGAAAGAAGCGCGATCAGCTCAGGAAGTGAGTCGGGGAACGCGGGAGAGCAGGAACCCATGATGGACACGGGTCTTGGATGAATCGGGTGTCCCATTTTTGAATGGTCCCTTTGATGCCCGAACCATCTCTGAGAGTTTGCCAGGCTGTCTGGCCCTGGATCTTGGCGGGCTTCCTTGTACCTTTGTGGGGTCCATGTTGGTCAGAGGGACATGGCTTGTGAATTGGCCTTGCCATCCAGTGGTTGTTTGTTCCGTAGAGTGTTTCCCTATAAGCCCCTCTTCAGAGCAAAAGCACGGAGAAACTCCGGAGACGACAGCGTTTTGAGAAGTCTAGAAATTCCACGGAGGATGGAGCTCACTGAAGAATATCCGGAGTTGGGGGGTCCAGGTAAACTCAAGCACCAACAAATCAAGTTGGCCGTTTTCCCCATGGCCACTAGAGCGTCATGTGGGAACCATTAGGGATGCAACAGGAACCATTGGTAAACCAAATGCCCCCCCCTGCCCCCACCCCCCCTCGGTCACCCGTTCGAGGGCTGGTGTTGGGTTTGATGCTGCATGGTTCTTGAGTGTTTCGGGTCTTCCCTCTGACACCAAGTACTTCACCGCTGTCACTGGAAGTCCAGGGGGTCTTGACTGCGATGCTCCAGACTTTCGTTCTTCATGGGACTCCGCCGGCAGTGAGACTTTTGCTTCTTGCGTTGGGCCCCTGCGGCAAGTTGCAGGCAATCAGTGGGTTCGACTTTCGCAGGTGCTCAGAGCGTTTCGCCCAGCATGAAGGTGAGCATCTACATGGGTTTGCCTGAAAATAGTTGACCCTCCAACCAGAAAACCCCGACAAAATGGTTGGCTTCCTCTTGGTTTCCTATGAAACCACACCAAAAGGTGGGTACCCTCAAGGGTTAGACACCCCCAGAAAGGAGCTTCTGGGAGAGCTTGGCATTGGCTGCAAGCTCATGGGCCAGATCGCTCGGGAATACTGCGCCTAGGCTAGGTCCCCCAGTAGTGCCCTTGTACCCGTTTTGTGGGGAGGGTTCCCCTACTAAAATAGACTACCAAAAAAGGGTACCCTTATTCTAACGATTCTAACCTCTCTGCTGGAGGACCTAGTAGGAGAGGTGACGAGAAGTTTACGCTGACTCGGGGTGTCTCAAAATACTTAAGCAGGCTGTTTTGCTTCTCGAAAACACCCAGTGAGTGTGTCTTTTTGTGATGGTAATGGTACCCCTTTTGGGGTGGGGATGTTTAACGGGAAACAAACGACAACCACCAACTTTCAGGGTCTATTGTGGATGGTTGCGAAATAAAGAAATCGCACCACGTTGAAGCCATGGTTGAAACCATGGTTTTGATTGGTATTTACGTTGGGGGATCAAATCATTCCAGGGTTTCTTAGGTGGTGCGATTTCTTCATTTCGCAACCATCCACAATAGACCCTGAAATTTGGTGGTTGTCCTTTGTTTCTCTTTAAGAATCCCCACCCCAAAAGGGGTACCATCCAAAAACAACTCACTGGGTGTTTTCGAGAAGCAAAACAGCCTGCTTAAGTATCTGTTTCTCACCTCAAGGTCTTTGTGGGATCTGTTGGGTGGGTTAGGAATGGGGTTCGTCGAGTATAAGTGGGGGATTTAAGGAATTGACCGTTCCGGGAAACGCCTGTAATCTATTCAGTGTCCAGCAATGGAAGTGGGCAGCTGTATTTGGAAGATCAAGATCGTCAGAGTCTTGATCTTTTCACAAAGTTTATTAGACACTATATCAGACCGTACAAGACCCTACTAGACAACTGTGGATGGTTGCGAAGTCCATTTCGCGCCACCCAAGGAACCCTCGAATAAATCGATTCTCCTGTCAAAACCCACAAGCGTCAAGGTATCAGCCCCGTGGTCCGAGAAGTCGATGCGAGTTCTTGGTTGGTTGCCTTTGGCAGCTGATTTGTGCGGCAGACATAGCCAGGTAAGTTTGGCTGGGGCATTTGTTAAATGATAACGCAGGTGTCCTAGGCTCGAGAACAGAAGTCTCATTCCCAGTTCCATCTCTCACGAGGCGAACCTGGCGGAACACGACAAGGAGCGTGGCACCAGGCGCTCGCTCCCGAAATCGCCGCTTGTGCCAGGGCTGGCCCAGGCTTGTGGAAAGGAGGTCGTGGGACCCCCAGTTTTGGCCATCCTCTTCCCATGTGGTTGAACCATCATGTTCTTCTTGACCTGTTGATCCACCCGCGTGTCTTCAAGAGGCTCTCCCTGGATCGCAAGTTGCTGTTGTTTTCCATGCACTTTACCCCAAAAACCAACCACAGTGACTGCACAAAGCAGCAGCTTGGCTATCTATCTTCCCTATTCTTTCCAGGAATCCTGCTTTCTAGAAAACCACCAAAACCCCTTGGGAAATGGCGATCGGTTTTTGAAAAGAACGATGGCTGAAAAGAATGGACAAGGAATCAACCCCTAGAATATTGATTATTGCTTTTCCCAAGCAAGCTCAAGCAAATGGCAGAGATCCACGTCTGTTTTCGTGTGTTTCCCCTTTTTGCATCCAGGTCCACCTTGCAGACGCCATCGCAAAAGGGCCGAAAGCGCCAGGCGGAAGATCGATGAGCCCCCCACCCCCTGGGCGTGCAGCCCAGTCTCCGACGAGGAGGAGGCGATGTTCCTTGGCTCTCTGCGTGTTTTTGTCTTGGTCCCCCAGCTAGGTGCCCTTTACCCTTTTTTGGGGGAATACTGATGCCTAGGCTAGGTCTTCCAGCTAGGTGCCCTTCTCACCGTCTTTTTTGGGGGAGGTGTCCCCTACTAGAATAGACTACAGAAAAAGGGTACCCTTATTATACTTATTCTAACCCCTCCACTGGAGGACCTAGTTTTTCTTGGCATTTGAAATACCCTGCCGGTTTGAGCAAGAAACTTTCCGGTTTGAGAAATGGAATGACCCCAAGATAAACCATCCAACTTGTGGTTTTGTTTAAGGGGACCCCAAAACGGTTCATTCAACCACGTTCCCTGCCTATCGCACCAGCAATTCTTTTGGGAGGAACCCTGAAACAGGCTGGCAACGGAAACTTGAATTGGTGGTTGCGGTTGTTGGTTTGGGGATTTGAATCCCTGGGCTGAGTTAAAACCAAAGGGGAACCGGCCCGAATTTGTTAGGTTGTATTGCAGCACCCGTATGAACTGGCTCGCTGGAAGGCCTTTCGCCTTAAGGCGGTTCCATTTACTCAGCGCATTCAGCAGTAGATACGATCGTCTTGGCACCTTGAAATGTGGCAAACGGGGCGCCACGATGGACACTTGCGCGTTGGTGTCCGATTAGACTGGACCAAAACTTGGGGTTTCTAGATGTGACACTCCCCAAGAGGGCGGGGATTCAGACTGTTGGTTCTTTGGCAGGCTTCGTTTGAGCATGTCCGTGAGTCAATGGCACATCCGAGACCTCCAGCTCTGGCTACCACCCTTTCTCCCATGCATCCTTTCATCCCTTGTAAGGCGGGCATGGCGGGCTTTGGAGCCAAGATCCAAACCGTTTGGCTGAGAATTGCCGTTCGAGAGCCAGACCACCCCCATTGATACGGTGGATGGCCAGAATCCTGCACCACCTAAGAAACCCTGGAAGGATTTGACTACCCCTATAAATAGCAACAAACAATGGGTTCCCACGGGTTCTGTTTTCGGTTCGAACGGATTTCGTCCACCCTCGTTGATAAGACCGGCATGGCCCGTTTCTCCCGGCACTTTGGTGCCTGCAGGCGCACGAGCCGCAGGCGCAGGCCGAATGTCGACGGACTTCTGCGAGAGATGCTTCACTTGGGGGATTCCTGGTTTCGGGCGTGTCGTGTTTTCTTTTTCTTTTTTCTAGGGGTCGGTTCGTTCCCCATCCTTTTCAACCATGGTTCCTTTCAAAAGCCAGCGGTTTTTTTGTGGGGCTCCGCTGGTTTTCTGGGTCCAGAAGTTCGGACCCCTGGGCCCAGACTGGACGACATCCCCCAGAATTCTCTCGGGTCTTTGTGCTCCAAGTGGCTTCGGTTCCAAAAACCAAAAGGAGGCGGAGGTGGAGGGGACCAATTGAATCTTTACCAGAGGGTTGGGGGATCAAGGGGTTGATCCCTATATGTGATACAAGGGAGTCCCCTCTTTACATGGCGGGCTAGTTTTTGGGGGCACCTTTTTCTGGACCGTTTTCTTTTTGGTCAGGGGACCTAAGCCCTAAGCAAATGAAGGTTGCTTTTCCAAACATCGGAGGTTGTCAACCGCACGCGTACTTCTCACGGGCAATCCCATTGTGTTGCCTCAAGACTCTAGAGCGCTCGCTTGGCGGGGTTGTAATATGTCGGAGACATTTTGTTTAAATGGTTTTAAAGGCACACCAGAAGGAACACAACATTTTTTATTTATTAATTTTTTTTTAACATATATATATATATATACATATATTGTATTTATTATTATTTTTGTTGGGGTCCCCCAAACAAAGACACACACTTGTTCTGGAACCTGGTAGGAAGGCAACAAGACGCAATCTTTGATGGTGCGCATTGATTCGCACGTATGGTGTTTGCATGGGGCGAGCAGTACTAGTGGTCTATTTAGCGTGCCATGCTCTACTTTGCAGCTGCTGGAATATGTATGCAGCCGACAAAGGTGTGTTGCTGACTGAGCAAGATCACTCTTGCGAAAGCGATTCATATGTTCGCCTAGCGTACGAAGATCCTATGACACCTCATGTTGGCATGGTTCGAAGCAGTGGGTCCATACTCAACGCAACAAAGCCATTTGGGTAGAGTCGGGACACACATGCCTTGTTCTTCGCTTGAACGTGTACCCATGGCCCCTTTGTCTGCTTTGGCCAGCTGCCGCGCTTGCGCTTCTTTGCCAGGCAGTGAGCGCCGAAGCGCGCGGCGCCCCAGGCAATTGAAGCAGGCGCTCCCACCCCGCGCTGCGAGTGCGCGTGACAGTACGCGAGGCCAGCGTGTGGTGCCCAAGTTGTAACGCAGCGCCAACATGGGTGTGCTTTTGTTGAGGGTACCCGTCGTGCGAGTTTTAAAGGGAAATGAATAGAATGCCATCATTTTTGGGGGTCCCACCATTTTTGGGGGTCCCCATGAAACAAAGACACGCCCATATACGACCATGTCACACAGAAGAAGACTTCTTCAAGACTAGTCCAACCAAGATCACATCGTGATATAGTGCAGCACCGTCACGGGGATTTGATGCACCGGCTCCATCGAGAGTTGCCATGTTGGACTCGCTGGTTGGTTGCAAGACACTTCAGTTTCTCTCGTCTCAGTCATTGCCAGACGAATCGCTTACCTTTTTGACTTGTTGCCATTTTGTTTTTCCTCCATTTCAACTCTTTCAATCAGCAAAACATATTCTTGCAGGGTTCCCATCATTCTGGCCGAGTCATCAAGCTTGAGTTTTAGACCTGCACTCCCTCCCAGCTCTGTTCTTCAAAGCAGATGGGCCAGCCCACAATACATGGTTCTCGTTTTCAAGGGAATCGATTTCACTACTGGACACTTGTGCTAATGTTTTCCAGGGCACTTACATAAGCAACTGGAAGTTCTGGACCGAGCTGAGGCTGAACGCCCGCTTGGAGGAGCTCGCAAAAGAGAAAGAGGCTCGTCTTTGGTTCCAAAGGGGCAAGAGCCGAGTCTGCTAAACAACTTGCTGGTTGTCATGAACCCAGGCTTTCGCCCCCTTAAAGGAAACCACAAGTTGGATGTTTTTTTTTGGGTTTCCACATTGAACTTGCGCGGAAACCACTCGTGCAGAGAACGTGCTTCGCTCTATTGTTGGGGCTTGGGGGCGGGCTAATGAGGGTGTCAGCGACTTGTTGTTGACCTTCCAGGCAAGCCCGCCTCAAGCGAGGCCCGGTCGGGTCTTTGAGGGCAGGGGGTCGCCCACGGCATATAAGTCCGATTGCTCCCCTTTTTCGATGGTGCCTGGGATTGTTTTACAGGGAGCCAAAAAAGACCCTGCAGGCCGCGCAAGGGAGGTGTGCCTGTTTGTGTGCATGTGTGAGTTTGAGGGATGCTGTGCTTGGGAAACCCAACGGCAAAGCCTGCAGATTAATGTTCTTCCTTGCATGACCCTGAGGTGTGTTTTGGCTGCATGAAGCCTTTGCGTGATTTGTAGGGAGGGCCCTTCATTTTTAGCGCTGTCAGTTTTTCAGGAGCCCTCGAATGAATCAACTGCCCAGACAGCCTTTCCTGGGAGGTTGCTGTTTCCTGGCATGGCGGGGCACGTATATGTACCGGGACAAGTGCTTCACCTTCCTTCAAGCGCTTCAGGGCCCAACAATATTGCATCCTGATGAAAACATGTGTTTGTGTGTGTGTGTGTGTGCGTGTTGCTGGGCGCGCAAAGAACCAAGTCGAAAAAGGTCCCCACTTCAAAAAGCCATGTGAGTGCCATCCATTTTTCCAAACAACACCCTTAGAACGCCCTAGGGCTGGGTTGGTGTGGCTTTCTGGTTTCCCCATTCACTCGTAGACACCTTGTGCCCGGAAGGCTCACGGCGGTTCGGTTTTACGGCTCATGTCTGCATTCATCTCGGGCTGAGGCCAAAGTTCGTGCCATGGCTGTCTTTGATTTGCGGTGCTTGTGTCGAAACGTGGCAGCTGAAAGGTCATTCTGAACGTGGCACAAATCGAGTCAGCGAAATCGGGTGCCTTCTTTGGAAGCAAACATCGGCGTGTTTTCGTGATATGTTCGGTTCCCAAGCTCGGAGAAAGCACTTTATGTCAACTGGAATTCCCCGCCGCAGCTGCAGTCTTTTTCAAACCAGATGATTAAGTCTTGGTTGTCTTTGGCTTGGTGCAGAACGCCTCCACGGGAGATTTGGGCTCGTTGCTTCCGCAACGACTTGTTTTCAGTTGGGCAGGACATCGCTCGGATGTCTTTACGAATTGCAGACCACGTGTTTTTATTTTTATTTTCAGGACTCCGACAACGAGCGTGCCAGGATCGAACGGCCATGAGCACATTGTGTATCGTTTCTTGAACAGTTACAAGGGCTCGGCATTCTCCAAATGCTTCAAAACAAGTGATTTTCCACCGGCTTTTGCTGGTCGGCACACACACACACACATGCCAAAGAGCAGGTAATGAAAGCCTGGGTGTCAACTGTCCTTTGTGCGAAAATCGATGTTCTCCCTCTGGCTTCCTCAAACAAAGTGTTTTTTCTTCATGCATGTGGGTTCGTCATTTTTTGGGGAACCCTCCCCGCCCCAAAAGAAACAAAACAATCAAAACAACATGGGGCAAACCCCCCGCCCCCCCCAAAAAAAAACAAACAAACATATGGCCGGGTTTCCTTTTGTCCCCCTTTCAGACCAGCCAAGCTCGTTTTCCTCGGCGTTATGTTTGGCCAGGGAGCGAAGTCGGAGTCCCAAAAGCCCGGGGGGCATATCCTGGGCCAACGCAGGCGCGTGAAAGCGAGGGCAGATCGCGGGCACGTTTTGAAGGATGCGGTTTCTTGCCCCCCTTTTGTGGTTGGTGTCCAGTGTCCAACCTTCACTAAACTTGCTGGTGCGATTTGCAGGGAATGAGAAATGGAGTGCGGGCAAAGCCATCCTGGGCTTCCTTTAAGGGAACTACTGAGCGCCAGCAAGTCTTGGTGGGGGCCTCGGCTTGGGTACGGTTCAGGGTTGGTTGAGTAGAGGCCATTATTTTCTCACGCCAGGCGGGTGGATGTTTTATAACCCCCCCCTCCTTCCCTCGTGTCTACCGAAAAGTCCGCTGCCACAACAAGTGTTGATTCTCTTGAAAGGGAAACCTGGAGGGGATGTCTAGTTGTTCCAGACCGTCTGCCATTGGCATGCCAACAAAGGCAGAGACACATGAATCAATGTTCCCTAACAAAATCCCGACATCGGAGAACATTCGACAGTAGTTAGCGCATTCCAAACAACTCCGTAGCCAAGCTGCTTGTTTTTAGATGCGGGATACCTATGATCATTACTCGCAAGTGACACGCAGTGGCACGCAAGTTCTACGTAGTGACCGGAAGCACGCTCCACATCGCCAGCATCACCTGATCACACAACGTCCTGTTATTCCTGCAACTGAGCTTAGTTGAAAGCACGCGCTCCGCATCGCCAGCATCACCTGTTCACACCTCGTGTCACTCGCGTGTCACCCGCTGCGCATCACTTGCGTCTTGCCTGTCACCTGCGCGTCACTTGCGTGTGACTTGTGTGTAACTTGTGTGTAACTTGTGTGTAACTTGTGTGTAACTTGTGTGTAACTTGTGTGTAACTTGTGTGTAACTTGTGTGTAACTTGTGTGTAACTTGTGTGTAACTTGTGTGTAACTTGTGTGTAACTTGTGTGTAACTTGTGTGTAACTTGTGTGTAACTTGTGTGTAACTTGTGTGTAACTTGTGTGTAACTTGTGTGTAACTTGTGTGTAACTTGTGTGTAACTTGTGTGTAACTTGTGTGTAACTTGTGTGTGTGTAACTTGTGTGTAACTTGTGTGTAACTGTGTGTGTTGTGTGTGTGTAACTTGTGTGTAACTTGTGTGTAACTTGTGTGTAACTTGTGTGTGTGTGTGTGTGTTGTGTGTAACTTGTGTGTAACTTGTGTGTGTGTGTGTGTGTGTGTGTGTGTGTGTGTGTGTGTGTGTGTGTGTGTGTGTGTGTGTGTGTGTGTGTGTGTGTGTGTGTGTGTGTGTGTGTGTGTGTGTGTGTGTGTGTGTGTGTGTGCGGGTCACCTGCACGTCATCTGCGTGTCAATCTGTCAGAACAACAGTGGATCGCTGCAAATAACGCAGTTTCAACGTGTCGTTGCGTGTCACCTGTCACTGCGTGTCACCTGCGTGTCACCCGTGTGTTACAGCATGTCACCTGGGGGTCACTTGCGTGCTCCCCCGTCACCAGCGCGTCGCTGCGGGTCAGCTGCGTGTCACCACGTGTCACCACGTGTCATCCGTGTGTCACTGCGTGCTGCTGCCTGTCATTGCGTGTCACGGCCGGTATGTTTGCTTGAGATTCATTTACGTCTCCGGGGCAGCGCGTTTCAGATTGTTTGACGCTTGTAACCGTTGTGTTTGCCACTGAGTTTGTTGTGTAGCCACCCATTTTGGCTAGAGCTCGCCCGGGCTTGCCCGCCCGCGTTAGGAAGTCGGGGCTTGGGAAGGGCTAGGGGTTTTCTATGGTTTTCTCGGGTTTGTTTTGGCAAACCGCTGCTTCTTCTCCAATCTCGTGGACGGTATTCACTGTGTTTTGGGGCTTGCTAGTTAGGAAATCCCAGAGGAATCACTCCTGAGGAAGATGTCTTATTCTACTCCAAAATCTACATTTGTTTTTGTGCAGTAGTCAAAAATTGACAAGTGCGTCGTGATAGCTGTGCTGCCAAGCCTGCAGGTGATTTGAATACGAACTGGACGCGCGAGGCAAGACGGGAAACAGCTCGCTTCTTTTTGCTGAGCTGTTGAACAGGCAGCGCCGCGCAGTGTTGAGCAGCGCTCGCGCTGCAAGCCTAGGCCCCGTTTCCGGTCCATCGCGTTGCTTCCAGACTCGCTCCTTCGCACGTCAAGACGCATTGATTCGCGCGGCTCGCGTGGCTGCTTTTGTGCAGGCGCTTCTGCGCCGCTTTGGCTTCAACACCTGGGTCATGCTGAGCATTTGGGCTAGGCTTCATCATGTGATGAGAAAGATCATTCTCCTCCTGCGCCGCACAGGGCTGCGCGGGAGCAATCGCAACGCAGTCCGCTCCGACTGTTTGAGGGGGGGCTGCCAGGGCCTTCAGTTAACAGAACCCCGCGTGAAACATCAGCGGCTCCACAGACACCATGCGTTAATCAAGCCAGGAATTAGTTTGCCACGTTTGCCTTTTTATCGCGAGCTCATAGGGGGGTAAAACTGACATCAGCCCTCCCTTTCGGGGCCTGCTATTTGATTGAAATTGACATTAAGCAATGCAAAGGGCAATAGCATGTAAGTGTGGTCCAGCGATCCTATTGCGAGTCTGCGCTGCTGGCGCGAGGCCCAACAAAGACTTCCTCTGCCGCCTTCAAGGCGCGGCTCACCCTGAGGTCAATTGAGTTGGACTTTGGTTTGCCTTCCTTCGGTGCTTTGCGTTGGCTGAATTTGTCAACATGCGTTGCTGTCCAACCCTACACATGTTCTCACGTTAAGTCAGAATTAGGTTATAACGGTGTGTGACGAGTGATTGGCGCTCAATCCATGCTGGGTTCCGCGGCGTCCTTCCAGCTACATGGGGTTTGTCCCTTTTCCACGGGTTGGTCGAGTTGGCGTTGGCGTTGGCGTTGGCGTTGGCGTTGGCGTTGGTGTTGGTGTTGGTGTTGGTGCTGGGGTGTTGGGTGCTGGTGGTGTTGGTGAAGCTTTTAATGCAGAAACACAATCCTTGAAGTGGTGTATATAACCTCCATGCTGTGGATGGACGAACCCCTGCATCACTTTGAAGCCATGGGCAGCCATTATTCCTTGATATTCATAAAGGGGGAATTATCATTCCAGGGTTTCTGATGGTGCCAAATGGATTTTGTCCTTCGGTACCTCCGAAACCCACGCCTGAAAATTCTAGGGGTCACCTCCCCATTCTTTCCAGGGATCCTTCTTTTCAGGAAATAATCAGAGCCCCAGAGGAAATAGCCGGTTTGTTGACAAGAACAAGGGTTGAAAATAATGGGGAATCAACCCCTAGAAAATGCCAACAGGACGGTGGGGTCTGGCTTTTGTCACCTCGCCCATGGGGCCAACTCTGGGTTGCGGGGCTGGGTTTGAGGCGAAGCGCGCTGCTCACTACAATGAGTTCCGCGTCCTGCAGGCCGGACCGTCCCTTTCGGGAACGGAACCTCCGTCCCCTGACCAAAAGTTAGAAATAGAATCTGGGTGAATCATAACGACCTCACACGACCTCACCCGAAATGGTGGTTTATGTGGGGAATAGCTCCCCAACCACCTTGTTTCAGGTTGGTGAAATATGGCTGTGGGTCAAAACCAATGGTACCATCTTGGGGTGGGTGCACCGCTCACTTTAGTCTATTTTAGTGGGGATTGGGATGTTCACTGGGGGTACGGGTACTTGACCCATGGCCATATCATACTTCACCCAGATAGAACGGGGACGGAGTAAGTAGAGATAAACCACCAATCTCAACTAGTGCAAAACTACTTTGTCCATCCACAGTACTTGAAGGGGCAGGGTACTTGGTAAGTAGGTAATAACCATGGTTATAACCTTCTAACCAGAGTACCTGGTTTTGATACCCTCTCTTATGGCAACTGGTGGCCGGTTGCAGCGAGCAACCTACTTAAAATATTTGCCAAAGTTGGAGGTTTTGCTGTGGCTGTTCAAATAGAATTGCCTGGAAATCCAGGCAAGTCCCGTGCGGGGGACTGTCAAACATGTGAGTCAACCATAAACTGATCGAAGAAACCGGCAGGAAGTTGTACAAGAAGTTCCCACAAAGCCCTGGTTTAGCCATTTGCCGAACTTCCGGTAGATTGTTGGCTGGTTACGAGACAAGCTGCTGTCCTCTGAAAGCTTATGCTGGCTTTTCTGACCAGTTCTTGCCAGCGGTGTAACTGGCGTCAAATCGTGAAGTGCTTTCTGCTTGCTTGAATGTTTTCCAAGTCAGTTAAGTGGGCACACCCCACAACCAACACAACTGACTTGCCTTTCACCTTTGTGGGTTGTGGGGCCTCTGCCTGACATCACAACCATGCCTTTCAGATCAGACGTTGGACCTACATCCATGGCGGCGCATAGCTCTGTGTCCCTTGGATTGGGACGCGCGGCTGACATCCCTGATTTAGAGGGGGTTGCACAGAGGCTCAACGGACTGATGCCACGGTCATTCACAGAGAACCTCAGGATCACAAGGACAACTGACTGATCACCCCAATTCAATGATGTGCACCACAAGGTCGCTTATTAAAAATCACACCCAGGTGAGCCAATTCCTCGAAAGGCAACTCGCGAAAGGCAACTCCTGACGGCAAATGCTGGCGGTTTTAGATTCCTATGTGCCTGGCATTTGTGCCAAAGCTCCAGGGATTACGAGGGCGGGGCTCGTCTAAACAGCCCTTGATGGCTTTGTGCGGCACTGAATGTGGTCAAGGGCGTGTCCGACTCGAGGTTTGTCACGGTTGAGCGGGGGTTGGGTCCTAAGCAGTTTAAACATATTTAATCCATGACCACCGCCACAATTGAGTGGTTCCCTTGCCTGTTTCTCCTTTGGATTCACAATATGCGAATAAATTGCCAGGTGTACATCACTGCGCCAGCTTCTTTTGTTTTTCTTGGAGCATGTTGCAAGAATGCCCCATGTCGTTCTCCCAGACTTTGTCAAGCACATTCTCTGCAGGGGAATCAGCACGAACAAGCTAAGCAAGACACTGTATGGTTCTGTCTTCAGTCAAGTCCATACTGTCACTTCAAGCAACGTATAGTGCTGCGCAATTCATTGCGACTCCGAACACACAGGGTGTGCGACCTGACCCGTGATGAAGAATGGGACGGGGTGCATTTCTTATTTCTGGTCGGTAAATGATGATAATTCACCCAGACAAATTGCCATGTCAGCGGCCATGGAAACCCCGGATCAATAAACCGCTGGTTGCTTAATAGGGGGGGTCCCTTTTTATTTTGGATTCCTCAGGAACAACCCCCTATTAATAAAACCGGTTTGTTTCATCCGGGGTCAACCTTACATCTCTATTCCAGGCTTTTCGGCGCGATGGCTCTGACACAGAGTCCGGCGAGAAGTGACTGCATTTGAATTGCGCGCATGGGGAGTGAAGCGTTGTATTCAAGCATCCGGACATTGCCTGCTGGTTCCAGAAGCAGGGCATGAGGGAATGACCCCTATGAACCATCCCTTGTGGATTCCCTCAAGGGAGTGCCCTTCTCCTTCATTCCCAACACCTGGAACGGTCATTCCCTACCTGTCGCACCACCAAGATTGACTGAGTGCAAAATAAGCAACAAGTATTGGTTTTTCTCAGTGATCAGTGGTTTTGTTGACACCTACTTGACGCACATTACATGTGTATCTATATATATATATATACCTAGAACTTCCTGCGGCGGAAATTTCCGCCGCAACGCATTGCGGCGGAAATTCCCGCCGCATTCCAGAAAATCAGCCGTTGAAAATAAACACCGCTGCAACCAAAACAAAAACGCCGCAACACCGTTTGTTTTCCGGGAATTTCCGCCGCATTCCCGCCGATTTCTGCCGCATTCCCGCCGATTTCCGCCGCAAATCGGGGGGTGGGAAAAACTGAAAAGTTCTGCCGCAATAATAAACAAAACACGCCGCACATCAGGAAGAAATGCCGCAAATCCAAAAAGACGCCTTTTTTGATTTGCGGCAGACATTTCTGCCGCAACGAATCTCTAGGTATACATGTACATGTACGTCAGTAATACATACATATATATATACACATGTATATAGAGTATATATACATATATATATATATATACATAGCCTATTTATATAGTGTATATATAATATATACAGTATATATATATATAAGTATATTTATACTGAGGACTTCCTGAGCTCCACACACGTGCTACTGGCTCCTCTTCAACGGCAGGGTCCCGCACGCAGCGCGAGGCGACGCGAGGCAACGCGAGGCGCAGGGCTTTGCGAAGCCCTGGCCTTGGCAGACGAGCGCAATGCGAAGTCGTCTCTGACATTTAGATCATACAATATATATATATATAGATGGTCAAGAGAGCTAAACACTATGCAAAAACACAGTGTTTGTGCAGTCATTTTATGAAGAAAGAAGGAAAGGTAGTTCATGGGGGGGGGGGCTGACCATATATATATATATATATATACATATATATATATATATATGTGTATGTATGTATGTATGTATGTATGTATGTATGTATGTATGTATGTATGTATGTATGTATGTATATATATGTGTATATATATATATATATGAATGCATACACCCATTATTGCACATCAATCCATACACATGCTAGGTGTATGGTCTGTGCACGCAATCATACGTCTATGTGTCTATTTGTGTTGTTCTCCAGATCAGGTCACAAGCAGTTGTGTAAAGCACCTGCTTGAAATTCGGGACTTGCGCAAATATTAGCTTATGTATACATAATATGCAGACAGCCGCACACGCTCAAAGCTCCCCTCAAGCATGAATTGCGACGCTTCGGCGCCTCCGTTTGAAGTATTCGAAGCCTGGCTTCGTTTCAGATACATCATGCAGCGAGAAACAGAAGCAGAGGCGTACGTGACAGGGTCCAGTTCGAAGGTCTTAAGCATTCCCTTGCAAGGCCTTTGAAAGTATCCTTGGGGCGCAGGGGGGTGAGGTTTTAAAGGGACATAGGTGTGGGTCAAAATTATTTTTTCAGCAGACCGCAGGTTTTAGTCCTTGTTCCAATTACCAGGGTTCCATTTTGGGTACCTATTTTTGACCCGCACCCATATAGGAACGCCTGCATGAGCAACTGACGATTTCTTACTAGTCTACGTTCGGGGAGGACATAAGGGGACAACTCAAATACCACACAAAAACTGGGGAACAACCCAATTGGGCCCCTTTAATGTTACTGCCCGAATATTTTTGTCTGGGGGTCCCCGGCAGTTGCTTACGGGTTTGCAGTTTCTATGGTTCATTTGGAGGACATGGGCCCAAGCTCCCCTAAGTTTCCAAGGGGCCACTTCAGAGTTAGAGACTCACAGGTGCCATGAGCCACGGATTTCTTGCCATCGCCACAGATCTAAGTCATGGTGAAGAGAAATGGAGCTACTGCGGAGCTTCGCACCAACGTATAAAGCCCTAGTGGGCAAGACCCGGCAACCTAGCAACTTGATGTCGTCCATCAGGCGAACCCCACAATGGGGTTCCCTTCAAAGATCCCTCAGAAAATACTCTAGGACTGAGGCTAGCAAAGGCAAGCAGTCAAGTAGTCTTTTGAACCGTCGGCAGCGTCGGCAACCCAACTGTTCTCAGCCATGAAGATGAGGGGGCTTGTTGTTCCAGCGAAGTTCCTATAATACATATACAATAAACTATGTATATATACATTTATGAGGATTTATCAATATTCCCTTAGGTAACTGTTCCCGGGGCGACTGACATGCATGGCCCGCTCCGATCGAGCATAAGGATCAAGCGGTCGGGCAACCAACCAGCCAAAGGCAAGACATGTCACGCAACGGCGTCCCAACCTCACCCCTAAGGCTTTCAGGAAACCTCCATTTCTTTTCATTTTTCCCTGTTCAATGAAAAAGGGACTATCAATACTGGACATATTTTTATTTTTTCCAGGGACTTAAGCAAATGGAGGGAAAACACTTAGCGTCACGTTGGAGTTCTTCTTGGCATTCGGTGGGGTTTAGACGGCAGCCAGGAGGGATCCAACCACTAGGAATACCCTCAAGTTTTGGAGCACGACCAAACGGACGCGAGGGTTTTGTGCTCCCCAGATGAACATGCAGCGCAACGCAAGAGCATTTTTGTTGGAGAGTCTTTCTTTGGGTTCCATGTGAATAGTACTTCAGGGGAGACCTCTCTCTTAGTTCAGCAGAAGCGGCATTTGACGCCCAAAACGCCGCCATGGGCAACTCTGATAGCCATGCGGCCTTCGCCGATGGTGTCAGGCAGGGTTGCGCCTAGGTGCTTGCAGTTGGGTGAAGGTATGTGGCACAACTCCCCCATTTTGGTTAGTCATCCCCCTTACCCAAGGAGATTGTGCCGTCTACTTTCACCAACTTCTCCTGAGCCCCCAGTCAGGTTGGAGCGGCCAGCAAATATAATAATGATAAAAACATGATGAGACTGAGAGTATTGATGACAATAATAATCATACTAACAACAACAGTCATAGCAATACACATATCATTTTTTTGATCTATAATGACAGCACTGACAATAGTCATAGTCATGACAGTAATCATGCTACTTCTTCTACTACTCCTCCTACTACTACTTGTACTACTACGCTGGTTACTAATACTACAACTACTACGACTCTGTTACTACTACGACTGCTACGACTGCTACTACTACTACTACTACTACTACTACTCCTCCTACTCCTACTCCTACTCCTACTCCTGCTCCTGCTCCTGCTCCTGCTCCTGCTCCTGCTCCTGCTCCTGCTCCTGCTCCTGCTCCTGCTCCTGCTCCTGCTCCTGCTCCTGCTCCTGCTCCTGCTCCTGCTCCTGCTCCTGCTCCTGCTCCTGCTCCTGCTCCTGCTCCTGCTCCTGCTCCTGCTCCTGCTCCTGCTCCTGCTCCTGCTCCTGCTCCTGCTCCTGCTCCTGCTCCTCCTACTACTCCTCCTCCTCCTACTCCTACTCCTACTCCTACTCTTACTCCTACTGCTGCCGCTACTCATAGTAATAACAATACTCATGGTAGTAAGAAGTTTCACCCTGCTTCTGTCGCCCCCAGCCCCCAACACAAATCGGAACTATTGCACTCTCTCGGACCCTCGTGCAGGTAGTACTCCAACCCTTAGGTACCTGGATGTCCCAGTCAGGGTTCCCACGGAGAGCCAAGGGAAGCCACCGGAATCCATGAGAAGCCAAGGAAAACCAAAAAAAAACCAAGGGGTCCAAGATTGATTCATTCCTCCATGGATTTGGAGAGCTTGAGAGGCCAAGGAAGGGAGAGGCCTTATTCCAATGGACACCCTCAAGAAAGTCGACAGATGTGAAAATAAACGTGCGATTGGCTTTGGCACTTTGCCTGGTGTTGTTTTGGGAGCCGTTGCGGGGCAGTTCTTCAAGGAAACCAACGGCACACCTTCCATTTTGAGGGGCTTCCCATTTGGAGTAGCAGTGTCATGTTTGATTCGCCCTCTTTTCAAGTTTGATCAAAGGAGATGAGTTTGTTTTCAAATAACTGGGGACCCCTGCCCCAAAACGAGTTCTTTTTTTGTTCGATCGCCGCAAAAGAAAAGGGTTGCAGGAGCCCACCCGGCTCTTGCGATGCCGGGTGGGCTCTTGGATGCGGAAGTCCTTCCAACGGGACGTGAGGCGCCTGGTGGACGAGGACGTGGATGAGACGGACACGGCGCTGGGTCCTCAGCTCACGCAGGGTCCGATCTCCGAAACAGATCCGCAGGGGGTCACGCAAAACTGGTTGTT